GGTGAAAGCCCGGAGGCGTCCCGTTACGAAGAGCGGAAGCCATCGGACTTAACGAGTCAGGAATGCCGCCAGTGAGGCAACTGTGATGACATGCTGGCCCACAGCTCTGATCACTCTCTTGCGGTCCGCGCATGAGAATCCTTCTCTGGCGATGATGATTTTTGTTGCCCCCGCGCCACTTACTTGAATTGTTCGCCCCAGGCGTGGCTGGTGATTGGGGCCAAGTCACCAAAGAAAGGCTCGAAAGGTTGGCAGGTTGGGTTATGTCCACTCGAGGTTAGTGAGCCAGTCGGCCAGTGACCAGTAACGGATTTTGATCAAGCAAAGTACTCCGTACCGTTATCGTGAAAACTCAGCCTCAAGGCAAAAAATAGCAACGACGGTGAAAGGGCTTGGGACGATTGCGGCGTCTCGCAGCTGGGCTTGCTGGGAGACCGCGCTAGGATTAGATTGATGCTTGAAACCGGAGGCTTCCACTCTTTTCTTCAACAGGACCGGGTACACCGCAGAACAACTTGACTAGAACCTCTACAACGGAAAATTGTTAAGCTGGCGTGGCTGGTTCGCTGCCTTCTGTATCCGTAGTCGAGGTGGGCATGAAGACGGTGGGTCGAGTAGTTCGGAAAAGGCCCGATCGATTGAGCGAGGGAAAATGTTCCGAGAGACGCATCGATTGGCTCGTCGACCGTGTGGTCCTGGACTGGAACCTGACCGAGAATAAGCTCTCGCCCGTCAAAGGGTTTACACCGCCCCCAATCGTCTCAGGGCCTCAGTAGTCAGGCCCAACTGGCCAAGAGGCGCGGGTGACCGCTGACAGCGCCAGCAAACCATGTGGTTTCTGCAGTCCAGTCCAGATCCGGCGGCGTTGACGGGCGATGGGAGGGCTGATTGTTCAGGCACAAGAGCGAAGGCTGGCCAACGTGGCAGTTGGGTGTCACCGATATTATTGGGACCTGCAGTCACCTTCCGCGGTCCGCCGCAGTGTGTGGGCTGTGGGATTCTTTCAGATTTTCCGGATCGAAACGTGAAGTGGTATCCGTAGACGTGTTACTGTTGGGGTGATCCGTCGACGGACCATCACACACGGTAGAGATCGATGTATGGCGTGGATTAGGCGGCAGAGATGCCGTTCCCGCTCCCGTTCCCGTTCCCGCTGCCGTCCGTTTCGTCGCAAGTTTCGAGCAAGCGATCCGGCTTCGAGTGCAACACAATGTCAAGGCCGCTAGATCTCAGAGTGTTTTTGCAATGTGTGGCAGGTCGTTTGCTGGCGATTGTGAGTCACGGTACGAAATCTGAGCAGAAACCGCAAGCAGAATAAGCCCTCAGGTTTCCACTTGCTGCTTGCATCGAATGCGTGTCACCGTTGTTGCTATCAGTCTCCGCTATGTTGTTACTGTAAAGCTCTCGCAAGTCGCAACTGCATTGCCAACTCAGCAATCCCAGGATCCATATGCCACGAGCTGCAGTTTCTCGTCTCGACCGCCCCTGTCAGGGACCGGTCCGCCCGTTACTTTCTAGCATCTCGAGTATAGGAGAGAGGGAGAGAGCATTGTCTGAGAATCGAACTGTGCCATCTTGCCCTTGGGCGAGCAATTTTCACGAGCCTGGACCCTGGGGCTTTGAGTGAAACTGAGGGTGTCGCCCAGTGCTGCGTGCGTGGCTCCCGTTCCCTTTGTCGCGGCCTGGCAAGGCCGGGTAGACGGAGAAGATGGCCCGTAGCGTCGGTGTGGGATTAGTGAGTTCCTGGATCCCTAAGAATTGTCTAGCCAGGACCATGTTGGGATTAGCCCTGGAAGAGCTGGGAAGCTGGAGTCAGCACAGGGCGAGAGGGTCAATGTTTGTCCTTGAACAGGTTGTAGACGGGTTATGCTTGTGGCCAAGATTTTCTCTGCAAGGTATTTGTTCTTAACGGCAGAGGTGACGGAGAGATACACGTCCGGGCAGTCCTTGGCCAAAATACGATGACGAGGAATGATCAAGCTGTTTCCCGGTGAAGAGAGAGTTAGTTCACCTGTGTGCCTGTGAAGATGACAGTTAGACGGTCTTCTGTTCACTTTTGGAACTGGGATCATTACTGCGTACGGAGTACACCACTTTCGATGATGGACAGGCACGACCCTCCGCCCCTCACCCCCTCAGCGGGCGAGTCGAATAAGGCCGATCCAATAGGAAGCGATCCAATAATTGCAAACCAGAAAGACGGGTCGGCATCTTATCGCCCCGGACAGACATCTCGAGGGAACAGCCAGGTACGGACAGGTACGTACCTCGATCTTCTAGCACTTGAGGGCAGCGACGGTAGGAGCATCAAGGACGGTTCCGCGTCCCTGGCACAATGGTCCGTCAGGCAGGGCAAACATCTCATAGGTCAGGACCTCCGTATACGTACCTCCTTACTCAATCTAGTTGCGCCGTATGTATCTTTGTTGCCTCGATAGGTGTTGAGTTGCTACCGGACAATGAAGCAGGTACATACGTCCGAGCTGAACCGGACTGCGACCACCTGCTGCCAAACAATTCAGGTAGACGCAGATCAGGGCAGCTCCCGTTCAGACGTTTCGAGCTAACAATGTCAGTCTCCAATGGTAGACCAAAAGGTACGTACGGAGTACTGCGAGCAGGTAATTGACGGCGCATTGAGTGGCACGGGTATCAAGGAAAGGACACAAAGCAGACAAACGCTCGCCGGTCCCCTTTCACGTGTCAAAAAGGGGGGGAGACAAGAAGAGAGGGGAGCGAGAGACAGAGAGAGCAGGGACGGCGTTGATGCGCCCGTTTCCATCATCCTCTTTTGGCTTTTGGGTTCTTTGTACTCCGTACCTCAATCTGAAGCATAGCTCCGGCGCAACGTGGACATGGTCTGGGACGTTGAAAGGAGGGCGAAGAAGAGACTAGGAGTCAGTCGAATCACCAGTCAAACCTCGCGGCCCGAAGCCGTCCCTCTCCGATTGGAACCCAAACAACAGCTAGATCCAATGCTGCGCCCTGGGAAAGCTCCCCCTGCATCCTGTGCTGAGCTGGGTTTGGGACGACAGCACCAGCAACGTGTACTTGAGTGTATGGTGTGGTGTGGTGAGGTGTCCCGGGATATTGGTACCTGAGCGGTGCTCCAGACGACCGTCTTGTGCTCAGCGCGCCACGATCTGGTGGCTATTGACTGTAGATGATGCGCTTCAGGGACAAATAGCTCAATGCCATGTGATCCAAAAATCCTTATCTTTGGTTGTGTACTCCGTTTGTGGTATTCGACCAAGAATTTCAGACAGCATGTAAGACAACTATTCGTAAAATTGGTGAAGACGGGTACATGTGGACAGCCCTACTCATGGGAGTGGCTTGTACTCCGTACCGTTTGAGCGACTGAGATGCAAAAGATGAAACGAGCTTGGGATGTTTGGCAGGCAGGCAGGCGGCACCTTGCGTGTTCGTGAATCCTGAGGCACACACTTCTGTCGTCTTTCCTCATCTCCCGTCCCTTCCACAGGCAAGTCTTAGTCAAGAGCTCAGAAGATACTTTCCGACTTGTAAAAGTAAAGTAAGGCAGGTACGGGCTGCCCTTGGACGTCTTGGAAAGTGCAGGGGAGGGGGCTGGTTGGTAAATGGGTGTGGAGGACCCTGAGATGGGCAAGGTGCTACCCGACTCGGCACACGTGTAAAGGTAAGGAACATGGCCATCAGGAGTGTGCAATGCCGCAATTCCCATCGGAGCTCATGTAAGGGAAAGAAAAAGGCTAACACGTCCGAGCCTCCAAGGGATCAAATGAGGTTCCATTGCGAATATCCGTACCTAGAACACCAAAGTGCTATTGCTCGGGTTATCCCGTTTAGCCTGATCCCTTTCTGCCCTTTTCTTCCAAGCGTCGGCCTGAACTTTGAATCAAGGATAGTACCTCCAGAGTCAGGAAGGTAGAGAGTCCTGCATCTTGCATTGTTTCTTTCCCGTTGACGGCCAAGTGATTCCCTCTCTTGTTCTGGACCATTCTTGGCTTGGGCTTCTCTTGCCGCCTTCTTTTCCCGCGTGCTTCACGACGGTTGCTCACACCAACCTTCCCCGGTTACTCCATCTTCCCCTCAACTCTCCAATTCCCGCTTTACCGAACCGACAACCCGAAATTGTGTCTTCACCTTCCTTCTTCTCGTCTAGAGCTTGTCTAGAACATTTCTTGGTCCAAGTCTATCTCTTCCCCCACCGCCAAAGTCCTACGGTCTACGGATACCTTAGGACACCAAGAAGACCAAGGGGGATATTGCCACCAATTAGCCACGACCCTTTCCTCCGCGTTGGCGCGCTTTCCCCCAACTTTGCCTGCATCCCGTCCCTCTGCTGTCCCGTCCCCCTGTCAGATGGTCATTCGTCCTCCTGCACTCTGAGCTGTCAAATCTCGCCTGCTGTGCCGACGGACAAGTTCAGCACCACAGCTCTCTCTCTCTATCCCGCATCGGGTCTCTCGAGGCTTCAGGGTCCAGCTGAAAAGGAACAGGCGCAGGTTGCAGGAACAGGGGCATTCGGCTTCGAGGCAATCACTTCCGTTTGGCGACGGCTGCACATCCCGCCTCCCTCATGACAATCACTCAGGGAGATCTTTTATTGGTATTCTTCAAGCTCAAGGACGGACGGCCACTCAAGAACAAGCATTCGAAGGCTCGAGGGAACGCCAGACGTAGTCCTAAGTCGTCCATTTCCATCTGCTTTCTCCTCTTCTTCCGCCCCCAAACCAACCCGGGCCTTTGATCTGCTTGCTGCCCGCCTATGCTTCCACGCTTCTTCGTGCGAATACCCACACACACGCACACAGACACCCGACAACCCCTTCTCCCCCGGCTGATCGCGTGTCACGAGAGCGACAGACATTGGAGACGGAGAGAATAAAAGGCGGATCGAGCATGGGAGTTACCGCTGGCGCCGCCCTGCCGAAGCAATTGAATTGCTGAATTTCCCCATTATTACCCTGCTGCCCCCAGTCGCCAAAATCCACAGTTCCACACTGGCGCACCTCTCACCTACGACTACGTACTCGGTAGTACCCAAGGCAGGCAGTCCAGCCCAACCTCTGCACCAAAGGCACCTTAGGTTCACTACGGATACCTCACCGTAATAGTTAGGTACAACAGAGTCACAGACCGCACCTCAGTATTTGTACCTGTAACACGGTGCGGTAAGGTACCGATTACTCTCATCTCACCGGCACATCCACTCAAAAACCCGCTCGGAAATCGGTCACTGGTTGGTACGGATACCTTGCCTACCCGCTACAAGACTACCTCCGAAATTCACATCTGTCCGGCTGACCATCAAGTACCTCACTTTGTAGCGCTTGCCCCAAGGTTCCCTTTTTCGTCGCCCTGGTCACCTCTTGCTCCCCGTCCTCACTGCGTCCCCGTTAGGTCTGCCTCTCCGCAGCGGTGCACCTGAGGTACGAAGTACACACATCCATAGGAGACGACTCATCCCATTTTACAATAACCACCCCATCGCCGCCGCCATTCTCCCGTTCTCCGTCTTCTATCCTCTCCCTCGCGACTCAAAAAGCTCCCAACAAGGAAACAACTTTCATGCGTCAGGCTGATCGTGCCGTGACCTGGATCGCGATTTCGACTCACCACCAACTCTCGTCCCTCCCTCGACACAGAGCTGGACGCTATTGAACCGGTACCTTGCATCCGAACCGTACAAGTAAACACACATAGGTACTCAACTACACACACTCACCTACGAATACAACACCCGCCCCGGTGGAGCACTTGTTCCTGATTCACCCAAGGAACGGACGACTCTACGCCACCAAACCAAATTACCAGACCACAACCATTGCGCGAATCTTTACATCTCGACATTCTCCCCAGGGCGGATTTCCGACGAATCGATTGCCAGGTAAATTCCAATTCGTTCGCTCTTTGGCATACCTCGCTGTGGAATTCACCATACCCCAAGAATTTCCCGCGGCCGAGGTATCCCCAAGACCAAGGCACAAAGAGGCGCTCGCCCTGAGAGAGAGCAATTGCGCTAATAAGCCATCCAACAGCTTTTGCGTCATCCCTCCTGCACGCACGCTGCAACTGCGCATCGCTCACTCCCTGCCGGCAAGCCCCCCCAAGACATCCATCCCACCACCAGTGTCGATGCTCCTTACCTGGGTCTCAACCCCCAGCTGCCTCCTTCTTTCTCAAGAGTCTTAATCATGTTCGCCTCCGACTCTTTCCTGCCATCGGCCTTTACCGACCACGATCCCAATATGCCGCCCTCTGCCGTCATCTCTCCGTTGTCACTCAATCGAATGGCGAGCTCCTGTTATTTCGACAATAGATCGACGACAACGACGAGTGCCACGGGCAACTCCATTTACTCTCCACAATCATCCGGCGCTGTGCGCTATCCGCCGCAAACGCAAAGCCTTCTTTCACCCCATTTACACCCCAACGGCGTCAACGGCACAAAGAGCTATAGAGAGACGATTTCGAACGACCAAGTACCAAGAGTCGTCTCGCCGAGTCATTTCGAACAATTCAACGGCCACAACCCCTCCACGTTTTCGTTGACGGCCAGAGTCTCTCCGAACGGAATGCCTCACCCACGATCAGTATCTGCCGATGCAGCCTCGGCTCCTGCGTCTGCACAGATTATTAGACGCCTCGCTCAGCAGAATGCGCGGATTCGGGAGGCCTGGGAAGCCGAGCGCAAGTACATGGAAGCCAACCGCGAACGTGTCGAGGAAGTATACAAGGAGGAGCGGATGATTATGGAAGACGAACGTCTTGCATGGGAAGCCGAAAAGAACGACCTGACGGAGCAGATCCGCCGCCTCAAAGAGCAAGTTGCAGCGATCGACAATGACAAGATTCGGCTGCAAGGTGCGCTCCAAAGAGCCGAGCTAGAGAAGGCGGGCAAAGTCGCCGGCGTCACTGTTGCAATTCCAGGAACAGGAACGCGAGGTGGGGCCGACGGCTCCACTGAACTTTCTTTCCCAGGATTCTCCTCGCAACCCAATGACGCGCGGTTCGGCCTCTCGAACGGCACTGCACAGCGGAGGCCGACTAATGGCTCTTCCTCAGCCTCCGTCTCGCCAGCCCAGATTAGATCTCACTTTATTAGTCCTGGTAGTTCCCGGATTTCTCCTTCCAGGCAACCAGAGTCTTCGCCATTCATCCCACTCAACCCCAACATGCAACCCACTACCGCAGATCCCGTCGACTTCCTCAGCTCTCCCAAGGACGAGGAGCCTGTTCCCATTGTCGACATTCAAATTATCAACCCTCAGCTTGAGGGCGTCCCCCTCAAGGCACCCGCCATTCAAAAGAGCACATTCATCGACTCCGGCATGACCCCTCCGGAGAACTCAAAGAACTCCTCCAGAGCCGTTTCTCCGCCTGGAGAGTCCGGCAAGTCCAGGCGAAGCCCTACTCAGGAACACACCCTCGAGGTGCTCGCCGCTCCCGAGCCTGCCAGACTCGTCATGCACGCTGGCCACACGCCGAGCCATTCCCTCTCCGTTCTGGGAACAGCTCCTGGCACAGAAGTTGCGACAGTCGCTGACGGTAGTGGAGGCTCTACACCGACTTTGGCACCGACAGACATGAGCTCGAACCCGGCAACGCTGTATGATGTCAGGGCCAGAGCAGACTCATCCGATCTTCAGGATGACGATTACCGCGGTACCGATGAGCCCCTCCCCACGTTGGAGGCGGCAGACGACGTTGCCCTGAAGGGCCCCTTGATGGTTCGCAACATCCCTGCTCATGACGAAATCTTCTTCAAGCGGTTGTCCGAAAAGCTTGAAGACGTGAGCAGCGGCGCCGATGCCGTTCCCACTTGCATGAAGGCGCCGACTCCGGAACTCGTCGAAGAGCCTTCGGAGGCGAAAGAGAATCTCTACGTAGCAAAGGCGGACACAGATGCCGCCAGCGACAAGGGTTCGACCAGCGACAGAGCTTCTTCCTCGGATAGAGACGACGTCTCCGAATCGCAGAGCAAGCTCGAGGATATTGACATTCCCCTCAAGCTCAAGCAGAGCACCAACTTTGGAGCTCCGTTGGGCGCCATGTTCTAAACGTCGCAGAACCAACTCACGACTACTTTATTTCGCAGGAGCCAGTTCTCCTCATCACTACAGCCGAAACCCGCGCATAGACTTTTCATAATCTCCGATCCCATTCAGCACATACGATCCGCCTCTCTGTACAAAGTTGTGGACTTTCTACACTCACTTGGCTTTGGCTTTTCACAATAAACCAGCCCCCTTCACCTCTTTTCCTATGTATATTCCCACACGGTGGGCGGCTTGCTTTTCAATTCCCCGGCGATAGACAGGATGACTGGAAGGGTTCCCTCGATGCTCCACGGAGCCGCATCACTCGATTTTTCTCATGGAACGGATTTCACGGTGTTTACAGAAAAATGCACAATACCCCCCGGAGGATTGGAATTCCTTCTCACGAATTGGCTTGGTTGTTTTTTTCAATGGATACGGTGTCGATGGAGGCGCAGACGCCTAGGTAGGGGTGGAAGAAGACAGATGACGCGACAGACGTCGTGGATGGGAGGCACTTGGAACTCCGTTCCTAGGCCGATCCATCAGCACAATGACAATGCAACAACTAGATAGACGGCCGGTGCGTGATGTCTGGAGGTTGGTTGCAAGAAGCGATGTATAGGCATAGCCGAACAAGAATAAACATTGCTATCACGGTCATTGACCGTTATTTGTCAACGCATATATTGTTCACATTCTCATGCCTGTGATTGCAAGCTGGTGTGATCAAATCGCCACAGGGAGTGAGTTTGTGTGTTAGAAGTCAACTGATTCAATCTTGAATGTCAAAACAATGGTATTAAAATTGATGTTGATGTAGATCATGATATGCATGTTCCCCCCTCTCATCCCTTCCCCTTTTCCCCGTTCTCTATAGCTGCAGGCCAGCAATTTCCCCTTTCGGAGACAAGCGTTGTGGATGAACCTGCTACTGAACCTCGTTTGGTCGTCTTCTACAATCGACAGCCCAGTGTCCTCTCTCCCCGATAGCCCTTTACCAATCCTTGACGAATACTACTTCGAGACTGACAAAGCTATTCTTTCGACATTGTTTTTATGGCCTCGAGGTGTCGTAGGGGGCCGGGTCGTCGGTGGCTGGTGTCACGCAGCCAGAGAAGGGAGGGCGGAGAACGTTGTTCGAGAGGAATCATTATCGTGCCTCCTCGATTTCTTTCTCTCTCTCTCTCTCTCTCTCCTTTTTCTTTTTGCTTTTTGGTCTTTTTTCAAATCCTCGCAATCAAATCATCCAAAAGCTCGCCCGTCTCCCCGGGACTCGCGATCCACGCAGTGGTACCCACGCTCCGGGCCTTAAAGTCGTTGCTGCCGGCGCTGAGGAACTGGTCGCCAATGTGCAGCGTCTTCTCGCCGGCGATTGGGGTCTCCGGGTGTCCCGCCTTGGCGGCAAACCAGCGCTGGCAGACGGTCACGCCCCACGACTTGTCGCCGATGTCGACGAAGACGTCGCGGCCGCCGTTGAAGGCGCAGAAGGGGACGCGGCGGCGGACGGCGGCAGCCGGTTCGGCGGAAGAGGCAGAAGCAGAGGCAGAGGGCGCGATCGTGCTGTGGCCGGCTGCTTGGGCGGGCGATCCCAGCGCGGAGAGCTCGAGGATTTTCTGGACGACGAGGACGGTTTCCTCGAGGGACTCGCGCGGGATGCGGACGGCCGGGTCGGTTGCGACGATGCCGACGGCGCGGTCCTTGCGGAGGAGGGTGGCGGGGAGGTTGAGGGTGCGGATGCACTCGAGCAGGGCGCCCTCGGCGACGTCGAGGAGCGCGGAGATGTCGGCGTCGGACCAGGATGCCATCTCGGGCGTGAGCCACTGCTCCTGCGGGACGGGGGCCAGGAGGTGCGGGGAGGACGGGTCGTATTCGAAGAGGTAGTTTGCTTCGCCGCCCATGATGACGATGGAGGCCTTTTGGGTCGGGGTCAGGTCGGGGGAGGCGGCGATGGCGTCGAGGAGGCCGTGGAGGCGGTCGTAGTAGCGGTCTGCTGTCGTGTAGCCTGCTGCTGTGACGATGCCGATTTTGATGTCGCGGCGGAGGAGGGAGAGGAGGCGGGGGATGAGGGGGGAGGTGGGGAGGAGGGATTCGCCGTCGTCGTAGAGGGTTACGTCTCCGTCAAAGGTTGCGAGTTGGAGGGAGGTGGCGGTGGTGGTGTTGGATGGGTTTGGACTGGGGCTGGGACTGGTGACGGCGAGGATTTGGGCGGCGTTGAGGATGAGGCGGACGTCGTTGAAGGAGGGGGAGACGTAGCGGCGCGAGGAGATGAGGCGTTTTGCGTCCATGAGGGTGAAGGCTGCTTCGAGGGGGAGGCGGGTGAAAAAAGGCCCCGCTGACGGGACGAGCATTTTCAGTTTTGAGGGGAGGTCTTCGTCTTGACGGGTTACTGTGGTTGTTTTAGTTTTGACAACTCCGTTCAAAGAGGAGGGAAGTGAATGAGCTAAAACTGGAGGAAGCTTACTGTGGTCGTCAATCATGTGCTCAACGTCGCGAAAGATTTCGGCGTAGCGGCGGTGGGATTCCTCTGCCATGCGGGCTATGCTCGTCGCTCTTGTGTCGAAGACGCCGGTGGGCTGGGAGTAGAGGACGAAGGGGACTGCCAGAAGACCTTTGATCCATTCTGTAGGTGAGGGTTAGCTACTTGCCAATGAAGGAAGAGCTTGGTCGGCATTGGAAAGGGGGCTGTTTTTGAGGCGGCCGACGATGATAAGCTGGGGAGACAATGGGACAGCGACTTCGCCACCGGCCGGATGCTTGATGATCTTCTCTCCTCCAGCTGTCACTTGAGTAAGAGAGCCGTTGTTGGCGAAGCTGCGAGGTGAGTCTCTGGACACTTGACATGAGACTCGATGAGCTTGGCGGATGCTGCCGTACCTATGAACTGGTCTCGTCTGTGGGTCTTGAGAGCATCTGTACGAGCGTTAGTTGGTGAAGTTATCTCAATGGAAAGTTGGCATTTTAGTTTGCTTACACTCTACTCTGTATCTTGTCGTCATAATGGGCTACCTTCCGAATCGAGGTCAAGGTTGAGTGAGAGTGAGGTTGAAGATGGCGGGGCGGGGAGGGGTAACGGCTCTTGGAAGGGGTACCCGATTCGTGTCACTATCTTCCAGTCTAGTATCAAATCTATGAGATTGTGGTATACCCAATGACGAAGTAAAGCTTTCAAGTTGTGTGTATGGAAGAAGTTTGAAGCAGTATCGAGAAGTAGAGAGAGAAAGGTTGTAAGAAGGAATGCAGTCAGGGTCTCCGTGGTGAGTAACGAAGTGATGTTGAATTCCACCGCCCCATGGAGCTCGTGGGGTCCACTTTTCCCCCAACTGAGGAGTCTGAGTGTGCAGGGCCCCGTGTGGTCGGGTGGTCCAGATTCGGGGGAGAGCTGCACCTGTCGCAGGCGGAATGCACCAGTGCCAGGGGTGCGCTGCAACGCTAACATCTACCGGAGGCCGCCGCTACCCGGCTGGCTCAGTTGTAGATGTTCAGGGTTCACTGGGAGAGATTGGGGAAACGCAAGCTGCTCTGACCCCGCTTTGGGGGTGTATTCGTACCTCGCCGTTTGTGTTTGTGACTCTTGTGGTTGTTGTTTACCTAATAGTTGGATTTGGAGTATCATGGAGCATGGAGTCTGGACGAGAGACTGTGAGATTGATAGCGTGCTTCCCAACTCCATTTTCCTCACTCTGGCTTTCTCTGATGGAAAGACCCACACAATGAGTACTGAGTCACTGATAGACTGGCGAGGCCTTTTGCGTATGCCGTACGGATAGTGTAAGCTGCGTTGCGTCAACCTGGCTACCTCGGAGATATATGCAAGAGCTGAGCAATGGTAACGATAGTAGTGAGATCAGGTGTATTCTGACAGGCTCTTGATGACCGTGGCAATGAGGTAGACAAACATTTGTACCTGCACCAACCGCTCACGTTACCCAATCTCACTGCTGTGTCTGCCAAAACGATGCTCAAGGTCACTCGGTGAATTGGATGGAACGGAGTTGAGTTGGTGTAACTAGTAAATCGTGATCATCTCTTGGACCGCGCTCAAGAACAGACAGCAAAGTCAAAGTTGGGTGCCGAAAAGTCGAAGGGTAAGACATAGCGTTCAACCTTTCTTCGAAAAAGATCAACTCGGCTCATATGGCGTCCACCAAGACCAACAACCTGATTAAACTAGGGATGCCTCTCAAAAGGAGAACGGCGACCTAGATGGAGGCTCCGAGCGAGATGTTGGAGCGCCCGGGACTACTGGCTTGTTGTTCGCGCTGAGTCCCGCAATTTGTCATCAACTGAGTAGGATCGATAGCTCAGTGGTAGAGCGAGAGATTGCAGTTCCACGCAGTTATCTCTAGGCCCCGCGTTCGAACCGCGGTCGGTCCTTCGTTTTGCCAAAATAACGGATATCTAATCCCGTTTTATCTTGACATGCGCAGGAATGATTTATTGATCTCTTTTGCGGTCAGCGAACCAGAAATTCAAGCTGGTTGGTGTGGTTGTTAGATTTCGTCGAGCCAGGATGAGTAAAGTTCATCCAGCCTAATCCTGGCTTGGCAAGCATCACCAGCACGCATCCATTCTCACACTTACGTTGGTATAAGCTTTCCACCTAGCGAAACCTTCGTCATTTACAAAACGGCAGGGACGTCTTTTCAGAGCGAATACTGTCATGTTCACACAAGTATAATACCAAAGCCTCATCAATAGTCTCCAACTCAGTCTGAGTCATGCTCATGAAGCCTATATGTGAGCCCGGGATACCAGGCAGTGGATGGAACGCTTATTGACCCTCGCAATGGGCGTAAGACGATGTCGGAATAGGGACTCAAATCATCGTAAACCCGAGTGCCAAGCTTTGAATGGCGCTGAGTTAATTCAACGATGTGTCGTTCTACGCCTTAACAACCCGAAAGTGTCTTCAAAGTTTCCTGGGATGCAGAAGGCGCAAGACGACTGAATTCGAGGCTTCTTTCGGAGACCAACCCAATCACAAGTAACCACCTGTGAAGTTTTCTGACATGAATGGAACCGAGAAAGAAGAGACGAACGTCGTCAATGAGAAGACGGGCCAATCTTCTCGGCCCCGGAGCTCGTAGAACGCCCGCCCGAAAGCACGTTCCGCAACGGAGTAGTCCGCTCCTGCATGGAGCTGGCGGAGTTCGGGCACCGCAATTTCGGTCAAAGTCTGGGGGAGGAGAACCACGGCCAAGCGATCAACGTTATCGAATTTGGAAGGGTGAGAGATCTTGAATCAGTGCAACGGGTTCACGGTTACATGGAGCTAAGGACCTTGTGTGTTCTGTGACGAATAAGAGGGGTTCGCTTGGTAATTGGGACGGAATCGGGGGTGCGGGCGAGTGAAAGCCGATGAAACGGCTTCGAGGAGACGTGGAAAGGGTGTGTGTAGCGATATCACATTTGAATGGAAGCGCAATAAAGTAGAGGGTTCTTTTGTATAAAGAGGCTGCTTGGTCGATCTCGGGACATTACTGGACATCAACTACTGACACCCAAGCCCCTCTTCAGATCTAGGAAACAATATGCTGGAATCCTTCAGCCTCGAGGAGGCCCGATGGTCTTTGATGCTGGTTTTCCCAGTCGCGGCGCTCTGTTCTGTAAGCCAGACCTTTGTATCCTGTTACAAAATCCCATGAGCATATCTAGATGAACCGGAACTCACCCCTCACTCAGTTCCTCGCATACTTCATAGGATTCGCCATCTACCAGCTCTACCTCAACCCCTTACGCAAATTCCCCGGCCCAAAACTATGGTCAATCTCCTCCATCCCCTATGTCCGCGAATTCATTGCCGGCACCTGCCACCTCAAAATCCTTCAACTCCACCAAAAGTACGGCCCCATCGTGCGGGTAGGCCCCAACCACCTCTCCGTCAATCACCCGGACGGCATGGCAGAGCTTCGGGGCCACCGCAAGAGCTACACCGGCGAGAACGGCAAAGACCCCGTCAACGCCCTGCCGAATCGCGACAACATCATCGGCTCCGACCGCGGGGACCACAGCCGTTTCCGGAGGGCGCTGGCGCACGGTTTCTCGGCGCAGTCTATGCTCGCGCAGCAGCCCATTATCAAGGGGTACGTCGATACGCTCTTTGAGAAGCTGCGGGAGGCATCGCGGGGTGGCGACCAGACGGTGGATGTGGAGAAGTGGTTCAACTTTACCACGTTTGACGTTATTGGTGATTTGGCGTTTGGGGAGCCCTTTGGGTGTCTTGAGGATAGCACGTATCACCCTTGGGTCGACCTCATCTTCAAAAGTATCAAGAACATGGCCATGTTGACGAGTTTCCGGCGTCTGCCCTGGCTGAAGCCGCTTCTCATGTTGACGCTTCCCAGGGAGCTGATGGGGAAGTATGCTCAGAACCGGGAGCTGTCGAGGGAGAAATTGCGGAAGAGGTTGGAGCTTGGGAAGAGCCGACCCGATTTCGTGGATGCAATGATCAGGAAGTCAGAATCAGCAGGGCAGGTGAGTGCCGCCAGTTTAGGCAGAACATCCTGGGAGAGGTCGATCTTCTGCCAGATGCTGTAAGCTGGTTACTAACATATCAATCCAGGCCATGTCGTTCGAAGAGATGACCTCCAACGCCATGGTCCTCATCATCGCCGGCTCCGAAACGACAGCCACGCTGCTGACTGCGGCAACGTACTTCCTCGCCACCAACCCGCACGTGTTGGACAAGCTCAACGACGAGGTCCGGTCGGCGTTCACGACGGAGAACGAGATCGATATGCTCAGCGTGCAAAACCTGCCGTACCTCCTGGCCGTCTTGGACGAGAGCCTGCGAATGTTCCCGCCGGTGCCTGGTCCCAGCCCGCGGGCCATTGGCGAAGGGGGCGATACAATTCTGGGCGAGTTTATTCCGAAAGATGTAGGTCTCTTCCCGTGGTGTCTTATTCGTGGTGTCATGGGAGGTTGTGTGTGTGCTGACTTTGGAAATCATGCGTTCTAGACTGTAGTGGACACCTGGCATTGGTCAGTCTACCATAACCCCAACCACTTTGCTCTGCCAGAGGAATTCATTCCGGAGCGATTCTTGGGGGACCCGCGGTTTGCAAATGATGCCAAGCAGGCTCTGCAACCGTTTTCCATCGGTCCTCGCAACTGTATTGGGAAGAAGTGAGTAACTCCAAGACATACTTCATGGGCCAGAAGATGGAGTCGATACCGTTGGAGATCCCCGCTGACAGATGATTCTGCAGTCTTGCCTATGCCGAGATGAGGTTGATTCTAGCTAGGCTGATCTGGAACTTTGATATCCACCCAGCTGCGGAGACAGCGAACTGGTACGCCGAGACAAAGGTCTACATTCTATGGGAGAAAGGAGGCCTGGATGTCCATCTGACACCTCGGGTCTTGAAAGCTGATTGAGAGGCGTCCGACATCGTGGCCATGCGTCCTGACAGTGCGATGGAAGGCCTACGTGCAGTAAAATTCTTAGCCTTGACTACATCCATGAAGTTGGAAAGTGTGGCGGAAGGAAAAGCAAGGGATAGAGAAGCTTCAACATGTGCCATCACAAGCTGGCTGGCCATCCACTGGGCTTGCGCAAGTTTTACTGAGATCAAATCCGATTGTCACTTTTGTAGACGGGATTGAAGTAGATCCTGACAAAGCAGCCTATATCTCCCGTATTCTCATTCATGTAGCGATAAAGAGAGAAGCAACCAGCAGCTCAAGGCAGCACCTCATGTTCCACAGTCACCAAAGTGACTGGAAATTGGCGGTTCCCGTGGTTGCTGGAAGCTCCGGAATTGATCCGGACTCGTCTCCGCTACGGCAGGCAGCTCCTCCGTCTGTGCTCTCTCATTGGTCGCTCCCAAAGCTCCACCCTGCACACGCACCTGGCGAGAAATGGTGGCCTCAGTCCCAACCCACTCCCCACAGGAACACCTATATAAACCCGACCTCCTCCCGCCCTTTGCTTGTTTTCCCTTCTTCTCTTCTTCATACTTACCTTCATGGGCGGTCTGGGGATCAAGAAATCCGGACCGCAGAGAGGGATGCCTGCATTGCACATCGCGGAGTAGACCTCTCTCGATTGTCCTTCGGGGCCATCGCTGTGGCAATTTTTGATTTTCACACCTTTACATTTTCATTGTGTCCATCCGCTGCGTGCGATGGTATGAAGAAGATGTGCAGCCTCCTCCAGCTCAGGCCAGGGAAAAATCACCTTGATGGCCAGGTGACAAGGCTGCCGCCCCATATAGGCCCCTCCAACTCCGTTCCTGTCACCAGCACAGCAGGCGCCCTCTAGGTCGGGGGTCAGGTCAACCTGTGGCGTGGGTGGTGGAATGGTTAATGGTCACCAATTATTCACGCCAACCAGCCTACTCGACGACAGGCTTAGCGATCGAGTTCGAGTCCCAGCATGAGCACCAAGAGATGTAGCCCCCAAATCGGCACCGGGGGGGGTGAACTCTTTTGCTTTTTGGATTGAATTTTTGGTGATGTTTTTAAGTGCCTTGGTGATGCTTTTTGGTGTTTTGATATCGTGAACCATAGTTTAGATGCTTAGTCATCGGTTTTGGACGCCGAGACATCACCCAACATCTCTTGAGTAGAATGAGACGGATTGTCGCACGTTGCGCCAGTGGTTTCCAGACGCGCCAATTGCTTTTGTAGGATGCCGTGACTGCATTATGAATGTCTTCTCTGAACCCTCAGGATCGAACCATAACGTCGGTGAGCTTGCGGCTGAAGTCCATCGAACAAAAGTGTGAGGCAGCAGTATTAGGTGATCCATCAGATAGCTCGACCTCTCTCCGGGACCTGTTCAATCTGACTCCTTGATTGTCGGCATCCTTGTATTTGATGATCCATCCTATGGTTGAATAGGAGTGAGAGTGCTTGACAGACATCTGGCAGATTGGCAGTAAGCCCATGGCCTCGACCACGCCATCCAGCCCAAAGGACCCTGTGGAACCCATAGATACTGAATGCCTCGGAAGGATCGATGGAGCAGTTACATTCGGACTGAACATACCTCTCTTCCCTTTTGAGTGAACAGTGAAATGACTTTTGTGCCCTTAGTATGTTCTCTCGGGCAATTGATCATTGTATGAGGTGTACACTGCTAAACGGACGTGGAGTCTGTCTCCGAGCGACGTCTTGGCCCTACCGGTATCACATAAATCTACCCTCAAGCTCTTCCACAACGAACAACAACGAACGGAAGTTGCCAGTCTTTGTGACTGTTCCCTGCTCTCAGGCACGTAGTCTTTGACGGAAAATCCCCAAAGGGCCATGAAGTCAAAAGGAGATTTTTGCATGAAGACGGTCCAGTTGCCACTCAGGTTCGTGACAATGTCAACGGACCTGCGAAATCGTGGGCGCCTGGGCTGACAGTACGCATCTTGGTACCGCCCAGATCACACGTCTTTGCATCGACCGCAAGGCACGTTTGGAAGAAAGTAAGTAACGACAACGTACCCATCGCTTTATCATGCTCGCGTTCTCATTGTCTTCGCTCACGAACACGTCCAAGACAAATATATAGCAGGAACGTAGGACATGATCTCTCCATCTGAGATTGTTGGCCTATGCTGGCGTGTCTAGACCCGGCAGGAAGATCAGATCCATCATCCCCGAGATAAGTGCCACAAGGTCCGCAAAGCACTGCGTGAGCTCTGTCTCCAGCTATAGTTTGCCTCGTATGCCAACGGATCAGGACCGCCAGTGGCAGAAGTCAGGGATAGGGCCTATTTCGGGGAAAAGAGCACGGAGGCTAAGGTGTCATGACCTCTGTTAAGCTAGAGGAGGACTTGATGGAGGGCTGCGGCACTTCGAGTGAATAGGCAAAACATTGAGCGCCAAGGGGGGGGTCTCTAACCCAGCTTGAGCTTGATAGGTTGGTTACCTAAACAATAGAAATCATTCCTTTACATTGGCATGTCATCTATCACGGAGTTCACCAGGAAGGGGTAGAGACATGGGATACCGAATAAGATTCCATTTCGTGGCACATCAAGAATGTCCCCAAAGTGGATATGAGGGATTTCAGTCTCTACCCTTTTTTGCCATCCCGTGTCTTTTATACACGAGCAGCCCCATCAAATCCAGATGGGAGAGGTCAGCTCATCCATTCAATCAATGCTCAAAATTTAGGGTACCGGCTTGGAGGGCAACGTTTGCTGTGAGCCCGTGAAGCTATCTAGTGCTATCTAGTGGGATTAGAATATGACACCAAACGAGTGAGATGTCACACGGGATCTTTCTCCTTGTGAGAGCCTTGTCACTGAACTATTACTTCCTGCTTCGTATGGATAGGAAGATATTCTCGGTGGTGTCTACGGCATTTTATATCAGAGCAAACAAGGTATCCCTCACAAGCCTGTGTAGATCAATCACGTCAGTCCTTATAAGACGCACAATGACAGGCCTAGAACAGACTAAGCGATTATACTTGTCCGCCATAATAATGGAGAGAAACTCAAAGAACTCCAAGTACCTTTCTTGTTTTCTCTCTCTCTCTCTCGCACCTTAGCCCTCTTGGCTATCTCCTTATCCTCTTATTAACAACAAAGCCCTAAAGCCTAATACAGCCACGTTCTCTTTTCCAGATCCCGCTTCCCTAACGTATTCGTCGCCCCGAACGGCGGGACGATAAACGAGGATGAACAACTGTGGTCTTCGTAAATTTCTACTTATATTCTTGGAGTCGATACGATAAGATAAGAGGCAGCTCGTCTCCCTCGACCATTCACAGCTCGACCAGCTTCCACTGTGATCACTTCTTCGATGTGATCTGTGATGACCTCTTACGTCTATTAGAATGCGACGCCTTATAAAATTTAGCAAAAAGCACCGAGGCAAGAGTACAAGAACGATGGGCATGCCTCATTAGCCCCAAGTCTGGTGTGATCGACTTTGCCTCATTGATAAAGTGGGTGCTAAACCCCCCGCCCACGACCATTACCTCTCTAATGCGCAACACTTCTTGCGTTTGGGGCTTATTTCTAAGGAGATCGCTTCCCAAAGTCAAGAAGAGAGCGGGCTCCCTTATGGGTCCGTGACATCTGGTCTTTGTTGTGAACGCACCACCTTTGTAGAGTGCAGGCCACAATATTTATAAAACAGCCTTACGTTCTGGGGGTCATTATCCTGTATTCCAATAGGGACGAATACGAGCGTGATACACGACGATACAGCACGAGCGCGTTACTATTGAGAGATGAGTACTTCCTGAGTTGCGGTAACCGAACCGGTGTGTCTTTCATCTACTAGAAACACCTAACGCGGCCCTCTCGAGCATTCATTCCTCAGCCCACCAATGTGACACAAGTCAGCCGTACCCTCAAGTCGTGGGCAAGAACGAGGCAGCTTTGTAGTGACCATCACAATGATAGACATATGTATGCCAACATTCACGCAAAGGCACAAAGCAAAAACATCACATGAACGAATTGATTGCTCATATTTCCTGCGCACCCCCTTCATCCAGGTTGCTACATAATCCTACGGCGCCCTTCCCTTCGGTGCGTCCCAGGCCGACTCGGCAGTCATCCGACAAAAGGACCATCTGAGAAAGGAAGCAGAGAGTTGCAAAGAGAGGAAGAGAAAACAAAAGAGGACGCTGAACGCGACGCTGTGCTGTGCTGTGCTACAGAACCCTGGTATCCCTGAAATTTGAAAAGAAAAAGGATAGAGTTCTGAACCCCCAAACGCCACCCTTACGCTTTGCCGAAAGCCGCAGAATCCAGACCATTTTTGAATATCCATGCCTTGTAACCGATCTTGAAAGACCTGTCGTCGGCGAACAATTCATCGCCTGAATACATGGGCGATTGTATGTACGTGTCAGCCCAATTTAAACTGCATCAGGAGACCTGCGAATTTTTAGGACTTGAAACAGGGACCCTGAAACGAGTGCAAGCCATGCCGCAATCATTCGTCGTCAAAGATCTCGTAGGTGTTTTGCAGAATTGTATCGACAACCTTGATCTGCCATCCGGCGTCGGCGATGCTAGTTGCCGGATCGGTGCCCATGACCGTGGGGCCAAAGATGACGGAGAGGTTGTGGGAGTTCATCCGGTTGACATGGGAGTTCTCCATGACGCGGTGGAGGTGGAGGGTCAGCGAGCGCAGAGTGGCGTAGTTGGGATCAGGGAGGCTGTTGATGATGGCGTGGAGGGAGTCTCGGCGAACGATGTCATCTTCTTGTTCTGTGAAGGGTTAGTGATAGTCAAAATCAATCAAGAAAGGACAACTTACTGGCTGCCTCGATCAATTCGCTGTGATGCTCTGTAGTGAGCAGGGGGTTCGGGAGATCACGCAAGAACTGCTTCAACAGGCCAGTAACACTATTGACGTCATGGTAAAAGTTCTCGGGATTTCTGAAGTCCAACGCTGGGTTGCTCGAGTCGGTGTCGAACATGGTCTTGAGCTTGTTAATATGCGTTAGCGAGCCGGACTGTCGGTAGATACCCTCGACGCCAAGTCCGTAGAGGTCCACTGCCTGGATACACTGATAGACGACCATGGGCACAGGCAAGCCGTCTCGCTCATACAAGCGAGGCAGGCTGAGCCCGAATGTGGGCCTCGCGGCATTGGGCGACGGCCCGGAAGGACCGCCGAGAGGAGGGGATTGTCTGTTCTGTTGAGGGTATCCTCCTGCACCTGGTGGTGGTCCTTGAGGAGGATATTGTTGTGCCGGAGGAGCCTGGTGCTGCTGAGGAGGCTGGTACTGGCTTTGTGGCGGCGGCGCTCGTTGCTGGGGCTGCTGCTGCGGCGGCGGAGGCGACTGCGATGTCTGGAATGGCAATGCTCCTAGCTGTGGCGGTCCTTGAGAGGACATGCCACCGCTATTGTACGTTGGCGCTACAACACCAGAGTTGCGGTTCGACTGGAACTGCTGCTGTTGGCTGGGCTGGTTCAGCATGTTGTTGGTACTGAAGCTACGGCCGTGCTGCTGCGCTTGAGGGGGAGGGTGCTGCTGCTGAGACGATGGCCTTGGCTGTTGAGCAGCCGGCATATTAGGCGGCGCAAAGCTTTGGGGAGAGTCGGCTGGCGGCTGGAAATTGCCAGGTCTAGCGGGAGGTGGCATATCTCGTTGCTGTTGCTGATTTGGTCCTCCTGGTGGCCCAGAGAATGATCCGGATGGCGCCGCCGGCGGTACGTTTGATACCGAAGCATTGGGTTGGTGGCCCATTGCTTGCTGGCGGGCGGTTGCCAAGATCGGGTTCTTCTCATATTTGACCTCGCCGTTATTGTTGGCAACCTTCGAGTGGTGAGACGTCAGGTAATCGTGAAGGTCCTTTTCGTTGTTAATGGCCAGAACGGCCTCACGAAGACTGCGCGGTCCTCCGCCAGAACCTTGACCCTTGATGGGGCTGATGCTGAGACCGTTACTCAAGAGCAGCTTCTCGTTGAAGGAGGCTGCGACTGCGTTAGCTTAGGTTCTCTCAGAAGCGATGCGTTGACCAACCAAACTTCTGCATCTGCAGCGCCAGACCAGAGTCGGTCTCCTTGACCAAGTCTTGAAGAGCAGAAATGGCCTCCGGCCTCGTCCTTGCAATCAATTCGGCCTTCTCACTCTGCAGTGTCTGTACCTTGGCCTGGTAATCCTGATCGGCGCCTTGGGCTTTGCGCAAGAGATCCTCCTCGTGCTGGGGGCCAGACTTGGACTTCAAGCTGAACATTTTGCCGCTGTTCCTGCTGGTGTCGCCAGTGCGCGCGCGGTCGTACTCCTCAGCCAAACTGTCGTATTTGGCCTTGGACTTGCGCATCGCAGCCTCTAATTCTGCCACCCTGTGTTCCGCCGCCAAGCCGTTGGCCTTCCATCCTTTTCTGCTACGCTCGGCCACGGCGGCCAGCTCGAGCAAGTCGTCGTGCATCTGTTGTAGTGAGAGGGCGAATTGCGTTCCGTTTTCGGCCATGCGCTCGTGGATGTACATCATTTCGCTGTAGGCCTGCGCAAAAGAGCCTTGCCTGTGATCGGGCTGGTGCATTGTTTCCTGGCTTATACGGGAGAGCTTCTTGAGTGAGGAGGCGTGGCTTTCTTCGATGTGTGATCGCTTCTTGAGGAAGAGTGCAAATTCCTAGAGTCTCCGTCAGCAGCTGTCATCCTCGTCGGGAATTCGGCTCGGGTTTCGGTCTCACCTTTGCGGAAGCGATACTCGCCTTGAGCTGGTTTAGCATGGTCGCGACACCAATCTGGGCCATTGTCAGTATTCGGGTGATCCGGAGAGAGAGCAGACTGCCTCCTTACGTCTGATGATAGCACTTCCTGGACCTGGCGCGAGACCTCAGAAGTAGGCGCTGAGCCCGTGTCTGTACTGGCGGGAGGGCCGCCGTTTGCCGTTGCGGCTCCCCCATTCTGTGAGGGAGCTGCGGTTTCTGTGTTTCCTAGCGACATGCTGCTTGCTCTGTCGCGCTGTTCGTTGTGGGAGGGTAGGTTGTCGTCGGATGGGGAGCGGAGGTCGGCCATTTTGAGAGGTCGGGGGGGAGTTGAGCGATGCGGCGCAAGTCTAATCAGGTAATACGAGATGGAGGCTCGGGCTCAGGTGGCGGCAGGCTGCTTGCGAAGACGGGACGAGACAAGGAAGAAGCCAGGACAGGCGTGGTTTCGTGGCGTGGAGGAGTGAGGTGAGTGAGGGCGCGAGCTTTGCGGATTTGCGGCTTTGCCGTGGTGAGAGGTAGATTCCCGGTGCGACGGTGGTGGTGACCGTGAGCGAGGAGAGTTGGGGGATGTGTTTAGGTGGAGAGGCAGGGGGTGAAACGGAGGTAATTCATGCGAGAGGCTCGATGATGGGTTCGTGGGAGGATGGGTCGTCCAATGTGACCGGTCGGACGGGGAAGTGATGGGTATCGTGCGGATGAAATGTGGCCTTGGATACACGGATGAGCGCGGGACGGCGATGGAGGAGGTGGTTGTGGTGGTGGTAATGGTGGTGTGCTGTACAATGGAAGATGGGCGTCGCTTGTGCGTGGGTACCTGGGCAGGTGCTGATGGACCGGGGGGAGCACACGGAGAACGGATTAACGTGGGACGAGTGAGGGACCACGACCTGGAGCAAATCGACGAAGACGGGCGAAAGTGGTACGTCAGGGACCTATCTACCTTTGGTAAGGTAGGTAGGTAGGTAGGTGGCTGAAGATAGGATAGTGGACGTTTAACGGCGTTGACGCGTGGAATTGGAACTTGAAGAGACTTTGATCTGGAATATCGCTGGAACCGACAATGGAATGGATGTCTCGGGCTATTTTTTTTTTCTTTGACTGTCGAATTTCTTGGGACGAGACTACGAAGGTACAATGCCGTGGTCTTAGCGTACGTAAGTTAGGTATGTACGCAGTAAGGTACATTAGGCATGGAAACCGGGCCGCAGGTGCAGAACTGAAGGTAGGAACGAAGGAACCTGAGGTGATGAGCACACGGGGTCCTTGGGTCGCGGCGGAAGGAAGCTGCGAGGTGGAGAAAAGCGACGGGGTAGAAAGAGCGAGAGAGGCAGAGAAATGTCTGAAATCGGCAACCGACAGCTGGAAGAAACGCCCTCGTCGCACGGCCTTGCTTTTCGTTTACATTATTCGTTTGTACCTTATTGTTACAACCTACGTTTATGTACTTGATTTTGATACCCGGTACTACTTACTTTCGCAGACAGAGCACGAGACCAAAGCAATTCGTCCTCGACGCCGGCAGTGTTTGCGATACTTTGCGATTCATAGGCACAAGATCATCTACATGACGAGTGTCACTGCTATGCGCCCCAGAGGCAGACGTAAGTCAGGACGCGATGGACAACCACACCTCACCTCAGCTCTTGACTGCAGATGGTAGGTGATGTCCTCTGCAATCTACGGACGTCTTGAGGACGATTCAGTTGGATGCTATGAATAGCGACACTGATGTCTACTGTAGCGCAATCAGATCGAGACCCCGGTGACAGCCGACTACCTTAATCTCCTACCCTCCAGTACCATCAAATGGTCTCTTTCGCTGAGGCGTCCCTCTCTCCACTATCGGGGCTAAAACGAATAAACTGGAGCCCCCAGCCTCCCACCCCTCTTCAACTCCATTCGCAAATCACACAGACCTCGCACCACCCGCCACCGCCGCCCCAATCGACAAAACGGGCACGTAGTCTCTTTCGAGCTTAGCCCCCCTCAGTTGAGAGCTGAGCACTGCCCTGCCGTGCCTGCCCATCCGTGCTCAGCGTTGAAGAATGACGAAAGTCACCCTCCAACGCGGCATGTCTCTCGATTTGTTCTGGTATCGAGGCACGAGGTAGCAGTTCACGGCAATCTGAAGCATCAAACCAGCAGATCATCTTAGACCCACGGGAGGCAACATCAGCTCAGTGATACATCGCTAAAGGGTACCGAGTAGCCATCGCGCAGGTGTAATTCAACTCGGATACGAAATGGACACACCATCACACTTTGAACGGATACATACGTTGAGCTCTGGAGATGCCTCAAGTGGCCCGCCGATCCAGGACAGGCCCTGTTTCGTGGTGCTCGTATCTTCGTCTGGTCACTTCCAGCTCGACCATCGCTATTAACCAGCGACAGCTGTAGGAAAGTCTGTCAAATAGTCGTATTGGAACTTTCGAGCTAGTCAAGGGTTTGATTCCTTCAACGTTCGACAATGGAATGTTTCGAGTTCCCAATTTCTTCCACTGTCGAGGCGTCGATAGGTTCCACTTACAATTCAACGAGGTTTTATTGCTACAACTCAAGCAACAATACAGCTTCCTCATTGTTCACACTCACACATATTGCCTTTGGCATAATCACATCCATCTGCCGACTAAGGATTTAACAGCAATTGACAATCAACCCCTTGGACATCCCATGTCTCGGCCTGTCCCCATCCTCTTGTCATCCCAAAACCGTCCCCTCGACGTCGATCTCGTACAAAGTGTATCACGCCTGCCGTCCCCTGTCCCAGACACCACGGCACGAATTCGACTTGGCATCCCGAGTCCGACAACTGCGACAAAAGATCTTCAAACCCGCCCAATTCTGGACATCCTCTTCAACTGCCATTCATCCCAAACCCCCAGTTTGATTTTGCTTGGCCGTTCCCCCCTTCCATTGCAACAGTCACCTCGACTGTCGGCGTCCCTCGCCTAGTTCGATCCATGCCCCGCGGCTGCGCTCGTTTAGTCTAGGCTTATATTTAAAGTGACGGATCGAAAACATGAAAACGCCCCTGGTACCGGAGGTGTGGGCTCGAATTGTCACCTCAAACGCTTGCCTTGCCGACTTTAACTCTACGCAGGCGATCCCTACCTTCTAGACTTTGGCGGGGAACATCTGACTGACTTCAGACCGCCAAGCTTCATTGATTTTGGTGATATCAGGGTGTGATATATCACCACCACCTTCAGTCAATGGTCTAGTGTTAGCAGCTGCATAAGAGATATCTCATTATGCATAGAGCACCATCCCGTACACTTCCATGGAGACGAAGTGGGGGAGAAGATGCCATCCAATGCGTCGACCACTCTTCCCGTCATAAGGCAAGTGAACTATTAGTGAGCACACCTCTCATCGTGTCGTAGGAGGAACACCACCAATCTCATCCGCGTACGATAGTCAAAGGACCTGGCCTTGATCCACTGTAGATGTCGGAACGGGCATGACAGACGTCAGCGTTTCAAGCTCTCTCCCGCGATAGTAGTCTTCCAGGAGACACCAGGCCGGACGTGCCGGACTCGGTTCAGATCCGGATGTGGGTGTTGAGTACTGGCTGCGAGTCGCTCGGTGTCAGATGCCCTTCATATTTCCCTCTTGACCAGAGACCACGACTGTGATGTGCCGGCGTACCTAGTCCCAGGTGGAGCTACCGAACAAGCGCTTCCCTCATACCCTTCCAAACCGTCCCAAGACACATGAGTCTGGACACAGGGGATGGGGCGTGACATCTGAACAAGTATCGGCCGTCGCCGTAGATTCCGATTTGTCTCCTTGACATGCGTCTTAACACGCCTATTCTATGATGTGTGGCCAGCAAGCTTCCCGCATGCCTTTTCTATGCCCTTCATCAGATGCTCTCTCACCGCCATCGTCACCCCGGTGGTACTGTACCGAGACGGCATCCATCACAATCGTCCCTCTACGTCCCTTCTCCCGAGAACTTCACACCTCTCCTCTAATACCTCGCCATGCTTCTAGCTTTCAATTTCAGAAACATCTCCCGATTCCCAACTATGCACGACGGCAATCCCTCAGCCGTTATCGCCCCTCTTCATCGCTCCCCCTAGTAAAAAATCAAATCCAAGGGCTTCTGCTCGTCCCCGTACCGCTCCTTGAACTCCGTCCTCGACAGCCACCGCGCCAGCGGGAGCATCGTGTCCTTCATGTCCATGACGCCGCGCTTCTTCTGGTCAATGTGCGAGGCGTCGACCACGAGGCGCTGGAGCTTGTCTAGTTTTAGGGCTCCTGTTTTTGTATAGTTAGTTTTCTGTGTTTCTGTGCTCTGGTGCTGTGGCTATTTGGGGGAAGGGAGGGGGGGGGGGGGAGTTATAACCACAGTGATTTATGAGTGTGAAAGAAAAAAATAGTTCGCGATACTCACCATTGTCTACCAACTCCATGAGTCTGGCGGGCGTTCCGACCGCGATGCCCGTCCGTGTCTTTTGTAGGAACTGGACTTGCTCGTCTACCTTCATGTGCTTTGCAAACTATGGGTATACTCATGTTAGCCTTGCTTCCATCTTTGCCCCCCAGCCGAACACCAGTATGAATCAAGACGCTCTCTCATCCCCTCAAATCCCCAACTCAAGAGTGAAGGGATTCAAGGGAAACAGAAGATCCGGAGCGTAAAAATTCAGGCAGAAGAGAAAGAGAGAAGAGTAGAAAACTCACCAGCTTGGAAACGGTACTCTCCTTCCCCTGAAACTTCCTCACGGCCCTCACGACGTCCGCCGCCCTCAAACCCGCGGCAGCGACGATGATGGTGTGCGGCGCGCCCTTGACCTTGGGCGCCGTGAAGAGCCTGTCGGGCCTCTCTGCAAAGTTCTCTAGGAAGGCGGGGAGGTTATCCAGGGCGCGGGGCTGCGTCCAGGATGTGGTGTCCTTGATGGCGTTTGCTACGTCGTTGTTTCAGTCACAATTCTATTTTTCTGTTTCTTCCTCTCTTCATGATTCTCGCTGCTCTTTCGAATAGCATGATATACATGAGTAATGTCGTGATCGTGGAAATAATCACGGGGGAGGTGCTAAACTCACCAGAGATGGACAGATCCGAGAGCTCGACCGGACTCAGATCCGTACCGAAGCGGGAAATCTTTTGCGCCGTGTAGTCTGCGAGGAGCTGGTTGTCCATGACGGCAAAGGACTCGTTGATGCCCAGCTCGGCGTTGAGGAGCGTCTCGTCGACCTGGTAGGCCGACTTCTTCTTCTGCTTCTTTGCCTTTTGGCCCTCGCCGCCTTCTTGGCTGGGCGCCGCTCTCTTTTTCGTGTTGGACATTGCTGTGTGTTTGGGTGTGGTTGTGCGTTGCGTTTCTCTGGAGTCTTGATGGTACTGTTGGTATCTGATTAAAGTGAGTTTTGGTGAGTTGGACGTCTTTCCGGTGAAGACTTTTTTGGTGGTTTACAAGTTTTCGGTGAGGATTTGGTGTAGTTGATATGAGGACTTGGCTACGTATGAAAAATTTCGATGTTGAGAAGGAAAATTTCAATCTCGCACTGTGCTCGAGAGAGGTAAGCCCCTTGGGTGACACCTGGGGAGAGTTCCGTGAGGTGCTTGGGCCCGCACTAATGCACTCACAGTGCGCATGCTTGCGTCCGCTGGAAGCGCACCCAAAGACGGGCAGTTGCCGACAGACTGAGTGACAGACATCAAGAAGAGGAGAAAAAAAGCATTGCCTTGTTTGAGACTATACTAAGTACCTAATTTGCGTTGAACAAGCTTGCCGAGGCTAAATGGATTCATATCGTTTTTTCTGCCTGTCCAGTTTATTACAAGTGATCGCAGGAAGGGGCCTTTGTGGTTCCGCAGCTGTTGTGCTCTTCATTGACTTCCGTCAGGTACCCTAGAAGAGAGGGTAGCATCTCATAATCTGGAATCGTCAATTGGTAAGGTAGGCAATCCATTCGACACATGTGTGGTTTTTCTTACAATGCTTAACAGATGACGTATAATACAGCCGAGCAACTTGTACTCAGACTGCGTACGCTTTTGCTGGGCGCCAAGTAGTATCCAAATACCATTTGTCAACACACCCCATTCAGTCGCAAACGAAGAAGGGCAGATGATGATGATCGTACCATCCACAACAGCAGTGGTTTTGCACGCAGATACCTGTAATCCCTGAACATTTGTCAAATAATGAAAACATCTCTCTCTATGAAAGGTCCATGGCTCTCACTGAAAAGCCAAGTCAGTCAAATGCCTTTGAAATCAAGAGCATCTTGTTCACATAGCCTCTATGGCTTATATGAATATCGTGAAGCCAGCAAGCAGTCTTCCTTCGATAGACGAGATACTTAGCATTCCAAAGCGTTAGCAAGTCAAACCAGATTGTAGCAGCACAGAATTGAAACAAACTGAGCCAGCAGAGAACTACTCACCCCAATGCCGAAATTCAAATGTCCATCCCGTACTAAGGTACCCTCTCCCTGTCCGAGATCCCGCCTTCGATAGAATCGTACCCCACAGGCCGGCCGCATGTATACCGGTACGAGTGAGCGCGCCAGCCAAGCACGGTCACCCAGACCCATAAAATTATCCTAATCGCTGCCCGCCGCTCCTTATCGCTCGCGCGCGCCCCCACACCGAAACTTTTTTTTGGTCCCCCGAAGTTGGTAGGTAGTCTCTGGGCAACAATTTTTTTAGGGGAAATATTTTGAACCAAGTCCCCCCTTCTTGACCGCGTCTTTTCATTATTTTTTGCCTGCTCCACAGTCCGGTGACCGCTACGGGACCCTTCGAATTGCAATCTCAAACTCTGTTGATCTTGTGCAATTCGACATTTCATACCAACGATCTCGAATCTTCCTCGAGTCCAAGGCCCGACAGCAGCAACAATGGCCTCCGCAGAACTCTCCAAGAAGCGCAAGCGCGCCGAGCCCACGGCCGACGCCGCGGCCGTCGCAGACGAGTCCTCGACGAAGAAGTCCAAATCCGAAAAAAAGGAGAAGAAGGTAAAGAAAGAAAAGAAGGCTGCCGCCGCCGCCGCCGAATCCGCACCCGAAGGCAGAGAGTTCATCGCCCTCGAAGAATCAAAGGCCGAAAAGAAGGAGCGCAAGCGCAAGGAAAAGGAAGCGCGCAAAGCCGCCGAGGCCGCCGCCGTAGAGGACGCACCAGCAGACGCCGACGCAATGGACGTCGACCCGCCCGCGCAAGAGAAGAAGGCCAAGAAGAGCAAGAAGGAGGATTTGGACGTCAAGACGGAGAAGAAGGAGAAAAAGGACAAAAAGGACAAGAAGGAGAAGAAGGATAAGAAGAAGAAGAAGGAGGCCGAGGCCGAGACTGAGGCCAATGGCGTAGAGACTCCTGCCGCCGAGGAGAAGACGGAGAAGAAGGACAAAAAGTCAAAGAAGGCGAAGAAGGCAAAGGACGAGGCTGCGGCGGCACCCGTCGAAGAAGCGGCGGCTGAGCCAGCAGCTCAAGAAGAAGAGACCGCCGAGGGAGGAAAGAGGGAAAAGTACATTGTCTTCGTCGGTGAGTTCAGCCTACATCCCTCCTATCACCAGCACCCTCACCACCATCACCATCGTCACCAGCAAGTAGAGAGCACCCAGCTAACCAACCGCCCCCAGGAAACCTCCCCTACACAGCAAACAAGGACTCCATCAACGCCCACTTCGCAGCCTACAAGCCCTCCGCCATCCGCTGCCTCCACAAGGACGGCAACCCCAACGTCTGCCGCGGCATCGCCTTCCTCGAGTTCTCCAACGGCTCCAACATGCGCACCTGCCTCGACAAGATGCACCACACCTCGTTCGACGACGGCCTCTCGCCCGCGCGCCAGATCAACCTCGAGCTTTCGTACGTTTTGCCTTGGACCCCCCCCCCCCCCCTCCTTCCTTGTCTCCCCTTTCCCCTAAGCCTTACCTCTCTGGTGTAAACCCCAACTAACGAACGACAGCGCCGGCGGCGGAGGCAAGAGCAAGTTCCGCAAGGACAAGATCAAGGAGCGCAACGCCCAGCTCGACGAGAACCGCCACAGGCGCATGCAAAAGGAGGAGGAGTACAAGAAGGAGAGGGCCAAGCAGGGCGGGGCCAACTCCCAGCAGGATAGCATCCACCCCAGTCGCTTGGCCATGATGTATCAGTAGACGGACGGATGGACGAACGGGCATGTATATTGGAAAGGTGTAATTTGGTCGTTGTTGGACTGATGAACAAAAAAGCTCGATCTGGATATTTATACACCGCTGGATCAAGGAACCAGGAGTTGTGGTATAGAAAAAAGGGAGATCAATAGAGCCATCACAGCATTGCAAGCAAACATCAAGATTCTCACGCATCCAATACTCAAGTGCATTTGCAATGGCAGTCAATTCTCAAGACGAAGCTCATCCCTTCCTGACCCAGTGTCTAAATTCCTCCATGAAAAAAGTAGTGTCTTTGTGAGAGTGAGTGCTATCTACAGAAAACGTGGGATATCCTTGTGTTATTGTGTTGCAAAGCATGCCTGCTACCAACGATGCCCCCCATTGTGTCTGTCATTCTCTTCTTTGCCTTTTGCTCCCAGAAAAGAGACAAAAGAGCAATAACGAAAGCACTGATCCTGCTCAACTGCCATGGCCGACTCCAGAGACACCACAAGTGTCATTCACAAATTCGGTGTGGCAGGTGGGCAAAATCTGATATTTGGGGGTGTGTTGCGATCTTCGCAGGCTGTGCTCAGCTGGGGGCTCTCGAATGGGGTTGTGCCTCTGAAAGTAAGTGTCTCTTCTCGTTGGAGAAGCGTGAGGCACCGGGTTGTGTAACATGGTTGAGCCCTGACGAAAAGGCAGCGGAGAACTCGGCGTGTTATACACTGCTGAACGCCAATCCAAATGTTAACCTGCAACGCTTGAGGTCAAGTAAAAGGCGTTTACAAAATCGTGCACTTGGACTTCTTCTTCTGCGTAGCGACCGGGCGAGGGTTCAGGACGGCACTAATTTCAGGTTAGCTATTTCCTTGGACACATTGGCACTGAAGAATCCTCACCGAATAGCCTCATCGAAAACGCTCTTCAGATTTCTCTGCGTCAGGGCAGAGCACTCCAGGTACTTGTGCGCCTTGATCTCCTTGGCGCAAACCAAGGCCTGATCGTAGGAAACAGGCTCCATGCGCTTTTGGCGGAGGGACTCAAGGGTGTTGGGGTCCTCTCTCAAATCCAACTTGGTGCCGACGAGGATGATGGGAATGTTTGGCGCATGGTGGTCGATCTCGGGGTACCACTGCATCAAATTAGTGCTGATCTCCATGTGATGGTGGTGGTGGTCGTGGTGCAGGATGCCGTACCTTGGCCTTGACGTTGTCAAATGACGGCGGGCTGACAATGGAGAAGCAAATGAGGAAGACGTCGGTCTGGGGGTACGAAAGCGGCCGCAGTCTGTCGTAATCTTCCTGACCAGCAGTATCCCAAAGTCCCAGACTGATCGGCTTTCCATCAACCATCACACTCGCCGAGTAGTTGTCGAAGCTAGAAGCTCGAGGTCAGATCGGAACTCCATCATCAATCGCCATGTAGAGTGCTTACACGGTAGGAATGTACTCGCCGGGGAAGGCGTTCGTTGTGTAGGAAATAAGCAGGCATGTCTACAAGATGGATTAGTCGCGAGATACCGAGGGGCATGATGATGGGAGCAGCTTACTTTTCCGACAGCACCGTCACCTGTCACCACGCACTGCAAGTCACAACATCATTAGCGATTCGCTCCTTCCCAACTATCGATATCAGGATGATGGATGTCGCCAAGCGCGACGCACCTTCAACGACTGGACTCCTGGCTGAGCCATCTCTGTGATATTCTGAACGATGTGTAGTTGGATTCCACGACAGTCGTTGATGCGAATAGAGTTCGCAGGTTAGGTTAGGAGAAGCGGCGGCGAATTGGAAATCGATCCGAAATGGGATTCTGCAAAGTCAAGTGTGACACCAGGTTGGAGGGACAAGGAGAATTGGCGAGCGTTTGGATTAGGCGGTGGTTGCTCAGATGTGTATTTGGTCCTGAGGAATCGCAATTATGGGTGTGGTATAGAGAGCTTTGGTATAGTATGGTACGATGTGGGCGGCCTGGGCTGGCGACAAGCGTCGTGTCGTGTCGCGTCGTGTCGAACAGACAAAGCGGCAGAGGAGATCCAGGTTCCAGGTAGCAGGAGCGGAAGGAACGAGGCGAGAGCGGGAGGGTCTAGACGACGAGTCTCTGTTTGACGGCAAGGTTAGGGTCGGATACAGAGCGAGGTAAGGTAGGCGAGAGAGTCAAAGGGTATGAGAGTGTGAGGTGAGGGTTTGGGACTTGGGTATCCGTACAGAAGTGAGCAGAGTTGGCGTAAGGTGGCAGAAGAAAACGAAGCAGGCACACTGCGCGGCAGCAGCAAAAGACGACTGGAGACGACTGGAGATGGGGAGTCTGAGCTCTGGTGGGTTCCGATGGCTGCATAAAAAGTCGAGGTCAGAAATGTTTTGACACAGCGGAAGGGATTAGTGCCGCAGGAGGTGAAGCTGGAAGGGTGATAACGGTACCCTGTATATCTAACCTTCTTCTCAGGCAAAGAAAGTGGGGATGGGGGCAATTGGGAAACCTGAGGGAAGGGAAGTGGAGGGGGTCGGGGTGGGCACTGGGCACACTGGCGCTGGGCAGGCGGTTTAGAGTCGCAGTGCGGTAGGGTCGTCGTAAGGTCCAGGGAATGGAAGGAAAGGTATTCGTATGAGGTGAGGTGGTGAGGTGAGGGCAAGGCAAGGTGAGGAGAGCCGAGAGCAGTGCTGAGGTGGAATGGGAATGGCTACCTTAGTAACTTGGTCCTTAGTAGGTAGTTAGGTAGGTACCTTTTGGTACGGGGTCTGTCTGGTCTTGGGACAGGGCAAGGGGGGAGAAGCCGACGGGGGTGTGTTGAAGGTGGTGGGAAAGGGAAAGCGTTGGACAACGGGAGAGGAGCCTGAGGCGAGGAGTACCTATCCATCCGTACGGATGGGAGGAGAAGGATGAGAGAAGAGGAGCGAGCCCGAAGACAGACCAGACCAAGCAGGACAAAACACTCACCAGGATAAGGTAAGATGCAATAAGGTAGACAGTCATCAAGGCAGTGTGCTGTACGCAGTATTGGTACTGGACGGATCAAGCTTAGAGCAGCAAGGAAGTCACTGTTGATGGGATAGGTATTCAATGTTTCGAGGTTGGCGGCTACCTTACTTTTGCTGTCAGAGGTGGGAGTGTGCCCCGGCCGCAGCAAGCTACAAAGAGTGTTGAAGAGAACCTGAAGACGGGATGGGATGTTAGGTTGTCACGTTGTGTGAGTTAAGTTCGGGCAACAAAGAAGACAAGAGGGCGGTGGCAGTGGAAGCAGCCGGCCGTGGCAGTGAGCGATATCGAGGCAAAGGACGACAGACTGGAGATTTCAAGAGATTGATTATGGTGGATTGGGAGAAGATAGCGGGTATTGCCCACGACGGATGGTGGATAGGTACCTACAGAGAAAGCACACAACGGCTAGGGAAGGTACAGGCACAAAGTGACGAACAAGCAATAGAAGTCAAGGCAACGGAAGGCAAAGGTTTGGCGAGATGCGAAGCGAGTGAGGTGAGGATGAGGCAAGAAGCGCTGAAGACCAAGGTACCTTTGGTTAGGTAATGTAGGGTAAGGTACCTTGCTCCCTAACGTAGGTAGAGACCGATAGAGAGGTACTTACACAGATAACCAGGCGTGGGTTTGGGGAGGAGGGGAAGGAGGGGGCGCATATGGGTGGCACGTACCGGTGTGCGGTCTGCGATGCGATGCGATGCGCTGCAGTGCAGTGCGTCGCGGGCAGCAAGGAGCTCCTGGCTGCAACAGTTTCGGCGTCAACGTGCTTTACCTTGTAACGACCTATTGACCAGTGATCCCAATCCAATGGGAAAGCGGCGGCAAAGAGGGCAAAGAGTTACAGACTTGCAGTATCTGAGTTGGGGGTCCTGGGTAGAGTTGCCAATGGAGAATGGAAGCAATGCGTCGCGACCAGACGAAGACTGACGGACTTGTTACTGGGCGGTAGTAGACCAAGGTAAGTTTGGTATAGCAGATGATTGATTTGATTGACTGGATGGATCTAATGGTGTGCAAGGTGAGGCGAGAAGGATGAGACCAGCCAGGCGCGTGTGGGAGGTCACTGGCGGTTCACAGGCCCAAGGGAGAGAACTTGAGGCTTGCACCGAGTAGGTACCTTAGGTAAGGCACAGCGCAAGGTACCAGTGGATGCTGCACTGCGTTTGAAGGTGTTTGAAGGCGCGGGATGGATTTGGGACTTGGGAAGGAGGACAGGCTGGATTGGGTGGTCAAGATCCGGCAGGCGGGCACGGCGCAGGCCAGTCAGCGGCGGAATCCTTCGGGGGGTGGACGGTGGACGGTGGACGGTAGGTGAGATGTGGGTTCTGAATTTCTGGTGGTCAATATTGGTCGGGTCCCGTCTGAGGACGAAGGTGAAGATGCGAGCGGAACGGGAGTATCTTGTCCTTCCAATAGGTTGTAGGTGTGAACCTTGAAAACAATGCGAAAATTGTCTGCCGGCAGGCGCTAGATGGTCGGCGATGATGTAGGAGGTGCCTTCCCACGCTCGCTCGCTTGCTTGCTTCCTTCCTTCCTTGGAGGCGGAAAGCGAGTTAAGGAAACGGGAGGCAGGAGCAAGTTCTCGCTTTCAAGGAAAGAGAGGCTGGTGTTGGGTCCCGGACTGGGTCTGGATCTGGATCTGTCTGGATGGATCCAATACCTACCAATACTTGTGGTTGGCGGCGATGTGGGTGGTCCGTGTTGACCTCCCACCTCCGCCGTCGGTGGTTGGTCCTGCGATTGGCGCTTTGCTGTCGGCGGTGTTTTTTGGCGGGCCACTGGCAGATGAGGTACTCGGAGGTACGTGCAACAAACACCAACCACTAGGAGCGGCTCATGACGATGCCAATGTCGTACCTCGAGGAATGAACCGAACTCGACCTGGACTCTGCCTGGGATCGTCACGGGAATGAGACGTTGATAGGGAAACAGGAAAGCTGTTCAACCTTTACGGACACCTAGGTAGCCAAGCGATGGCGCCGCTATTGTGGAACCAGAACTACACTCCGGAAACGCGATGACCTTGACTAGGGATGCTATCCCAAGAAACCAACCCAGACGAATGGCGATGCCTGAACAGGAGCGCAAATGCGTCAAGCGCTAAACAAACATCAACTCCATGGCGTATCGTGTTGCTTGATAAGATTGGGTGCCGCTGGGACCTGCTCACTATCATGTCGACTCGACACGACTCCTCTCATCTGATCAGTCGTTAAGGTATGACGATGACGATATCTCCAACATGGAGACGCATATGCACCGATCTGATGTATAGGAAAACTCTACTGGTCCAGTTAACGATGTTAACCAGGAGCTCTAGCCGCCATTCCATATCACGGTCACAACGGGGCAATGCGGAAGTCAATCGTCAACTCTGATATCGGCTCGCTTTGCCAAAAGCTCCATCCATCTCTTTCATGCCTTGAACAGTGAGGTAAGCTCTGAAGGAAAATCAAGGTAGGTATGTACCTCGAATGTCACCACTGACGGTTCGTGATGAGCCAGAGCTAAAAAGTAGCGCGCACAGGGAGCCTTTGCGGCATCCCAGGGGAGCCTTGGTTAATCCCTGAGGGCCCCGTCAATGTCCAATATTCAATAATCGCACCGGCCGACCGTCCATTCTCTCACTTTGCAATTTGGATCATCGCATCGGCCATCTTTCCCTCCTTGGGACTGCTCAGGAGTAAATCATCAGAAAATCAGGTCAGTCCGGCCTATTACACTGTACGGATACGGATACAGCGGACCCCCTTTCCTTCCCTCAAGAGCAACTTCTTGCCGTTCTCCTCGATGGGCTCGTGCTTTCCTGAAGAAACGGAAGGCTCTCTCATTTCAACGTCACCTCACTGAACAGGCAATGGGAAACTGAAAGGGAAGGAGACTTTGTCAAGGGGCGGAAGGGCCTCCATAAGTAAAAGTGGATATGTACTCTCAAAACGGCTTAGCCCCGGCCCGTCCATCGAACTGGGAGGCTTTGCGAAACTTGCCAGGGGCCGGGCCACGATATCTGTCAATCGTGGCAGCCTCTAGGAATCCAGTTAGCCACAGCCAACCTGGAGCCAACTCTCCTGCCCCCCACCACCACCAAAGGTCTTTGCTACAGACTACGGATACTGAACCACGGGAGTAGGTCGCTCCCAAGACGTGACCTGAGGTACCTACGCAGGCGTTGTTTCCGTTTCCTTTGTGACGATGAGTCGGGTCACGCCTCCTTTGTTTCCTGTCAGTCCCCATCTAACCGTCTCCATCACCAGTCTCGTCTCGTCTTTCTGCCGCGCTGTGGCTAAAGTATTCCACAATCCACACACACTCACTCACACACTCACTCACACACTCATACGCAGTACGGAATACGGGATACACACACTCACACATGCAAGAGAAACGTCCGTCCCCTTCGCCGCCCGCCCCCCCGCTCGCTCGCCCCAGAATAAGAGTTCAGGCGCCACTTGACGCACGTCTTGTAACAAACTTCTGCCTTTGATGGAACACTTGAAGGAACGTTTTGAAGCTCCTTCTGTTCGCCTTCCAACCCGTCCACCCGACCTTGCCGACTCGAACTCTCGCAAGGAGCACCCGGCTCTGGCGCTGATCCATCTAACTGGACATGCGCATTCTCACTTCCATCCACATCTTTGAATCCATATTGTCATATCACACGCTACAGATAATAGAGTATCCGTATTACTGCTCCGCAATATTGAGATTGACGAGTTCGAGGCGGAAAGTCGCCTAGTCTGATTCGCCGAGATTGAACGGCCTAGCGCTGGCATTGAATTCGGCGACCTATCAGTTCACATCATCTAAACTCGCATTAGTGTCAAAGGACACAGATATTGAGCCGTCTTCAATGACCACCCTAGATGGCTTCTACATTGAGGAAATGTCCACTCACCAAGTGACTCTCGCCGTTCGACGTTCCAACAGACCCACTGGTATAGGCCTTTCAGGACCATCAGACCAGAGCTATCCCAATGTTCTTCACTGACTGACTTTCTCTGATCTCTGTCACACTAACCCGTCCTATCTCTTCCTTGTCAGACACCTCCTGTCAAGTCAAGAAAACACGGGTCAGATCATCGACTTCCTTGGCGACGAGTACTCTCAATCCATCAACCCTTGGCGTTGCGGCCATTCTCAATATGCCGAGGAAGAGACCCTCCGGATCTTCAACCCGGCAGGGGATATAAGTCGCTGGCTCTAGAAGAACATTCTTCGAAACGCTCGACAAGTGTCGCTTGTTTCCCGTCACAAACCCGGTCCAATCCGCCGCACGTCGCACAGATCGCTTCTTCACATGTAACCGTACCCGTTTCCCCATCGTGCCCGATTACGCACTCCAGCCCACGGACGCCTTCACATCACCTTGTCAGATAGCTTGACGCACGGGATCGCCGGCAAGGGCGAGCTGGGTCTGTCTTCACCTCACCCAGTCGTAGGTGAGGCCGTGAGCTTCAAGATGCTCGTCGAGTGTATCTGTTCCTTGAATCCGGTTTGAGGCTCGGGATGCAACACGGCTTTTTCCCTCCTCGAGAGGAGCATGGTCTCGTCTCGTTTGATACGGGGTTAACAACCAGGAAGACAACCATGGACCGCTGTGCAAGCTAGTCTTCCCAATGTTACGGACTAGTTCGCATCAAGCTGCAAAAACTGGCCAGTGACATCCCTCACTATGTCTTCTCCGCTTGCAAACTTACGGCCAAGCAGTCTTTCGCCCTCGGAAGCATCCGTCGGTACGCTGACAGTCGGTTGGCTGCCGTCCGCGCTATAGACGCCATCCGCAAACGCCTGGGGAAAGTTCTCCATCGCGATGACCCTGGCTTCCTCCATGGCTACATGCCTGCCCAAGAGGAAACTCTGCTTGCCGGATACCGATGGGGACAATGCGCTTACATGTGCCGCAGCAACGTCGTCGACGGAGATGAAGCTGGAGAGGATGGGTGTTTCGCTCTTTTTGCCTCTTAAGTACTCGAGCAGCACACTGTTTGATCCCGAAAGCAGCGCCTCGGCCGTCGTCGATAGCTCGTCGCGGCCCAAGATCCATGCCGGGATGATAGAGACGAGGTCGAAGTTGGTACTTGTACCGTGCTCCTTCACCCAGGCCTCCGAGGCACGCAGGGCGGCGATCTTGCTCGCGCGATAGGCTCCGAAGCCGGATCCATACGGGGCAACCGGTGTCGCCACCCGGGATTCTCCATCAATGGCCGGCCGGTCCAGGCCCTGGCCCATGAAGCAATCCATCGGGACGACGGCCACGATTGAGCTCGTGACGACTACGCGCGTGAGGGTGTCTGCCGCGTGCCGTTTCGCGCTCTCGAGGAGATTAAGAACGCCAGCGACGGCGGGTTTGGCGTATACTTCCTCTTCCGTCCCAACGCGCTCGTCTTTGCCAAAGGTGGGCACGGGGGACGCGCAGTGGATGATATAGGTCACGCCCTGGACGGCCTCGTCGTATGCCCCTGGGTGGATGATGTCGGGTACAGTTATCCAGGAGAGCTGGTCTTTTGATGGGTTGATGGTTTTGATGCTCGGCGCCGCTAGGATCTTGTCGATGCCGGCTCTGGATCTCACGGCGCAGCGGACGCGGAAGCCGGCTTCGAGGGCGGTGATGAGGGTTTTGTAGCCTACGAAGCCCGTTGCGCCGGTCAGAAGGATGAGATTATCCGTCATGATGCGCGATTGGTTGTTAGGGGCTGTGATGTGAGGTGATTGTAAGATTGGTTCTGGCTGGCGATGTAGTTCATTGCAGGCCGCCTCATTGCCTTCGTCGGTGGATTTACGTATATCTTATATCTCTCTTATCTCGTGATGTTTAGAGAGATGACCCCCGCAATCTAGACAATCTATAGATGTTCTCCACCCTGGTAGACAGGCTGAATGCGAGATCGGAAGTTCCGTGATACGGGCGGCTGAGCATTATCCGGACACCAGTCAGGATTTGGAAGGCTTAGTTTGAGCAGACCCTAGACTGCCAAAGGCCGATCGTCGACCTCAGTATTCTGCCTTAGTGACAGTCGAAATTGAAGGCTCCCGCAATGGTCCGCAGATAGCATGTGAGGGTTGAATAGGTAAAGCAGGCCCTGCACTTCGACTCTCTAAGATACATAATGCAGCACTTCATCAAAAACATCGACGAGGTCCTTGAGAGTAGATGCCTCCTTGCAGTGAAGCAACACTGATTACCAGAGCATAGGCGTGGGCATATATGACCAAGCCCGCCGATGCTTCTAGACTAGGAATAAGAGGGTCATCTGTACTCATGGTCCGAAGGTGAGAAAACTGTCCTTGCTTTGGATCCCCAGATCTTGCCGTTCGCAGGCAAAAGGAAGAAAGAAATACGTTTAGTGGGGATGAATGAAAGCTCTCCTACGCGTTCGTGAGCCTGTACGACATATGGCGGTCACGGAGGTCATAGTAGCATTCAAATAATGTCCCGGACTTTTGCGAGGATATTCTTGGATGAATATTTGAGCTATGACTAGTGATAATTTAAGAGCGTTGGTTGGAATTAATAAAGAGCGTGAGCTGGTAGTTATTTTGTTATGAGACATTAGGAAGTGATGCCCCAAGTATTGACTCTAGATGGAGACTTATCGTCTCACAAAGTCCCTGGTACAAACATCTCATATTCAATGACTTCTATATCTTATCTCCCTCCTTTTATAATAGAAGACTTTAGTTCCTGCCTAAGCAATTGCCTTGATGTGAACGAACGCTTTGTTGTCGTGGCTTATTGTACCTAATGTCGACCTTATAAGAAGGGCAGAAATAGTTCTAGTCTCCGATTCTAGCTCCCGCCGCTATCGTAATTCGGCATCCCAGTCATGCCGGAAGCTATTCTTAGCTTTTCCTATAGGGAAGAGGGTATTTACTGTTTCAAAAAGGGCGCATTGATGCGTATATTACCTTTCAGTAAGACGTATCCCGAGATTATTCGTTGAGGAAGCTACGAGTAATAGAGAAGCCGAGGAGAGGAAGGGGAGAACTATGAATTTCCCGAGGCGAGAAAGTTGGATACGAGCTCTGCCCAGGGAACAGACACCCGCGGAACCACATTATATCAGAAGACCCGAGAAGCGAGAGTCGCTGCTCAAGGTCGTTGCTCGATGGATAACGGCACACGCCGCGGATTTAGGCGCCGTGGAGATCATGGGCTCTTGGGGGTGGAATTGCCTTATATAGAGACCAAGAGCCAACACTCGTGTAGACATGGTAGGTATGAGAGAAATGGCTGCTCGTTTTGAAATTCCCAAGTGTCAGGATTTGTCGATTAGGTTAATCTTTGGCCGTCTTTCCTGGGGACAGTGCAGCTGTAGACTCCCGGCGTCCCGTTGAAGAACCGGCGAAGTGGGGCCGACATACCGGACATGTGCAGATGGTCTGTGCGCAAATGTGCTTTTTTGATGACATCCGCCGAACCTCTGCAGTCGCGTCGAGAGTCGCGTCTTCCCAAGGTAAAGCTCCGAAACAGCGGGGGGCACCTTGACGCCGCGCCCACCACATACCACCGTCGAACTCCACCACACCCGTCGTCGCTCCCGATCGCCTTTGCGACATATCAGGTTCCGCATACTGCCTGCCCGTCCAGCAACCTGATTGTCTTGCGACTGGACGACCGCGTCCCAAACATCACCAAGTCCTCCCAATACTGATTTATACAAACACCCTGCGCTCTCCGAGAGCACAAACATCACAACCACACCGGCGCACAGCGACCCCGTCGCAAGTCAAACCCGCACAACATTCACAACCCCCTCAACCCGCGCCTCGCAGCAGCCGCCGGCAGAAGACGACGACCCCCTCTTCTCTTCCGCCCTCGACACCGTAACCCCGAACCGCCGCGCACTCAGCCTCGACCCCCCCTCCAGCCGCGCCTCCCTCCTCCCACGTACGCCCTCCAACAACAACAGCAACAACCCGCTACGCTCCTCCCTACGCAGCTCAGCCGGCGGATACCGCGGCCTCTCCGCCTCGGGCCGCCGCTCCCTCGCCGCGACGCCCCACGCCCGCGCAGCATACCGCACAATCGACCAGCGCCGCGCCGCCGCGCTGACACCGGGAGGAAACAAACGCCGCGAGAGCTTCCGGCCGCGGAGGGAGTCGCTTCACGATGTCCTGCGCGGGTTGAGTCGCGTGGTGAAGCACACCACGCAGCCCATCTCGTCGTCCTCGTCACCCAGCGACGTCGGATCGAGAGCAGCGGGGCCGAGCGCGAGTTTGCCGATACGGACGGTGAACCGGAGGGGCACGGTGTACGATGACGACGACGACGATGACGAGCTTCCGATCGATAGGCCGCGGTTGTCGTTACCGCTCGACGTTGAGGATGACGACGAGGACGAGCTTGTTGCGCCTGAGTTGTCGCAGATTGACGAGAATGCGACGATTGAGTTCCCGCGGCGGGCGTATGTGGATCAGCCGTCGCGCATGTCGTTGGGGAGCGCAAGGTTGAGCGAATTTAGGAATTACGGGGACCTCGACGACGACGACGATGGTGATCGCGGAGAAGGGTTCTTTCCTGCGTTTGAGGTTGGGGCGTTAGACGAGGAGGGGAGGGAGCCGGAGGATACGTTGGACAGGTGAGCTTTGCGGCGAATATATTAGCGGTGGCGAGGGCTCGTTACTGACGGAGTGGGAACAACAGAGTCGAGGAGGAAGACTTGAGGCGGCAGACTCTGGCTTCGGCGCGGGACAGCGATTTCGGGTTCGAGGTGCCCATTGACGCGGATAACCAGACGACATTCATGATGGCAGTGGACGGACAGAGCTCACCGGCGCGACCGCTGCCCGAATTCACAGACGAACAGCCGTCGCTTAACATTGCGCCGGTAGACGACGAGCCGGCGGCCCCGCTGGACGAGGACCTAGGTTTCGGAAACTCGTACTACGACATGCGCAGCTCGACGCCCATCGAACCCACCGAAGCGACGCAAGGAGACCTGGACGGACAGACGGAGGTGAGCGCCGCGCAGCAGGAGCAAGAGCAGAGGCCGCGTAAGACGAAGCGCGGCGTGAAGTTGTCAAAGTACAACGTGGAGTACCCGTCGCTGCCGCCCGCGGTGGTGAAGCGGCTGGCCAACACGTTTGCCAAATCGAGCGGCATCGGCAAGACCAAAATTAGCCCGGACACGCTGGCTGAGATCCAGAGGGCGTCGGACTGGTTTTTTGAGCAGCTGGGCGACGATCTGTCCGCGTACGCGAAGCATGCCAAGCGCAAGACTATTGATGAGAGTGATATGCTCACTCTCATGCGAAGGTACGTCTTTTTTGTCATGAACTTTTCACTCTTCGAACTTTGCGTGCTCCAAACACAGGGGTATCGACAGTCTTTTGAGGGGAAGGGGGTTTCCCTTTTTATATCCACAAGCCTTTTGTTCTTTTGGTACAAATACAATGGTCTCTAATATCCTTACAGACAACGCCAGACCAGCTCGACGACGACCCCCTTTTCACTGGCACACAGACACCTGCCCCGAGAGCTGTTGCAGGAGTTGAGGATGCCCTGCCGCTGCCACCGACGGAGCCGAAGAAGCGCCGTCGTGTGACCGACGGCGGACAGGAGGAAGTGACTTGAGGAGTCCGACTTGCTCCCACTACGACTGCGATGTTGGTCCCTCCAATGAGAGAAAACCGAGCAAATCCTTACCAATGCTTATTCATGCGCACCTTTCGCGCGGTATCGGTTGGGGGCTTCTTGACGACCATCCACAACATGATTGAGGTGGCGAACGCGAGACCATACCTATCTGGTGTTAGTACTGACGATGGTTGACCGTGCCGGGAAGAGAATGATATACGAAGCAGGGATTGGTCGGACTTACCATGTGAAGATGTACTGGGCATGGTTATTCCGCAGATTCACCTCCGCGGCTCTACCAATAGGGATACCCTTGGACTTGAGGTCCACAATGCGGAAGAACTCGTGCTCTGCGAGGAAAGTCAGTATGAGCTTTGAATCTTAGAGCAAGCCCCCCAGAAGGCGGCTCAGACTCCAGGGAAATAAGGAAACAGGCCACAACATACCTATAGTAGCCTCAATCCAAACAGGCTGACTGCCCGTCAGCTGCGCCATCTGGTGCACATCAGGGAAGAAAAACTCCCAACGATCAGGTCTATTCTCAGGCGTGAACATGTTCTTCTTCCACGGCTCCCGCAGCAACCCCTCAACCGTGACCTCCCACGCGGCGCGCCAGGCCTCCGCCGCTGATCCGCCATCTCTTGCTGATCCACCCGCGATTCACCAGCACCGTCGTGCCTCCCCTCCCTCTCGAGCGGCGTCACGACCATATACCCCTGCTCGCCCTCCCACATGCGCGGGCCGATGAGCATCTCCTTGTCGTGGCGGAAGTGGCCCGTGGCGTAGACGCGGCGGTAGTCGAAATCGGCCACGGCGTCCGGGTCGATCTTGGGCGGGAGCGGGAGGGGGTCGCGGACGAGGCGGTCCTCGAACTTGGCGATGAGGTCCGTCTTCCAGCCGAGGCGCTGGACTTGCCATGTGCCGAGGGCGAAGGCTGTGATGGGGATCAGGGCGAGGATGATGAGGCCTGGCCCGTGGCGGTTTCCTGCTCGGACGAGTTCCGGGGGGTTGTCGACTATGGAGTGGAAGTCTGGGGCTGGTTCGGAGGCGTGGGCGCGGGGGGTGGTGTGGAATTTGCGGGTTGTTGGTGTCGCGCGTGGTGATGATTGCGCTGAAGGGAATGTTCTTGGCCGGGCGATTGAGCGTAGGCAGGTTTGCGCCGCGGGGCCCGGGGCCCGGAAGAGCGCTCGTGGTAAAGGAGGCGGCATCGTGAGGTTCGGGGCTGGTGAATTGGTACTTTTCCCCGGTGGTGATGCGGGTGGGAGGCTTTCACGAGTGAGAGCTTGCCGGCGCGGGTGATGAGGTCAGGATATTTCGGTTTTTTGGGGTCCGGCCGGCCCGTTCTAGGGTACCTGAGCAGCGGGAAATGCAAAACGGATGAGCTGGGGAGCTCCAAAAGCTGCAGAAGCAATGGAACGTACCTCAGTGTGGAGTGGCGTGGGAAAGGTGGGGGCGGCGCCAATAGGGTGGCTCGGTGTTCGCCCCCGGAAGAGAGGATACATTGGACTAAGGCAAGGTCCCGCAGCTACACGAACGACACTTGTTCCTTCGTCATCTTTGAGCTCCTGGATACTCATCAGACGACAAGGCAATATCGCTCAACATTGAAACGAAGAGCGGCCGTGAAGAAGCCACGAACGAATTGTATTTGACACCCTGGAAGCTTTGGTGGGTTTATTCCAAGTCTAGGTTCAGCATCCTCCAAGCTTGAGCTCCACAGCGTCTGTATCCCTCTTCTTCTCAGCAACGTTGACCGTGAACTTACAAGCTTCCTAGACTCAACTCAGAGAGGAATTATTAAAGACCTACATATATCCTAATCGTCATCATCATCATGTTCTTCACAGGAGGTCTGCAAGAGGGCATTGCCACTGCACTTCAACAGAGCAAATGCGTCTTTTGCTTTGCAGGTAAGCTCACATCTTACAGCTCATGCTCATGCCATGGGACCTTCCACTGATGAGACGTAGACGAGGCCGAGAGCCAGACTTGGGAGGATGAGTATCTGACAGAGAGCTCGGTACGTACTTGAGCTTCCCATGATGAAGACACTTCGGCTCAGGGACTAATGACTGGACTAGATTGCGACTCTGCTTCAAGACGAAGCCGTCGCGCTGCGCCTGAAGAAAGGATCGGAAGAGGCGGGCTATCTGGCTGCTATCTTCCCCCTGCCCAACACTCCCACCGTCGTCGTGATCAAGAATGGCGATCTGAAGGAGTACATCGTCGCAGGCACCAGCAAGGATGAGTTTGTCAGGCGCATCACAACCGCATTTCGCGGCGCTCAGGGTCAGCCAGCAGCAGCAGCAGCAGCTGCTGCTGCTCAACCCGCGTCAGCTACACCGGCACCAGTCTCAGCTCCCGCGCCGGCCGCTCAGTCGACCGACGACCTGTACGACGAGACGCCGTACAACCCTCCCCGCGCCGCAGCCGCGCCCGTCACCGCGAACCAGCAACCCGCCAGGCCCGGCACCTCCTCCCCCAGTCCGCGCGGCCCCGCCACCCCAACCCAAGAAGAAGACAACGCCGCAACCCTCCGCGCCGTTCTCGCAGAGCGCGGCGCGCGTCTGGAAGCCCAGCGCCTCGAGTCCGAAAAGAAAGCCAAAGCAGCCCGCGCCGCCGCGGCGGAGAAGGCCGAGACGGATAACTCCAAGCAGGCGGAGCAGACGCGTAACCACAAGGAAGCTCTGAAGAAGGCACGCCAGGAGGCGGCCGACGAAAAGGCGCGCATCCTGAGGAAGATTGAGGACGACCGCGCCGAGAGGAGAGCGAAGGCCGCGGAGCGTGCTGCGCTTAGGACCCAGGCTGCGTCGCCTAAGCTGGGGGAGGTCGCGGCCGCACTCACGAGATCCGAGTCGAGTTCGCTTGCGCCGTCGAGCTCGGCCGCGAGCGGGATGACGGCGCTGCAGGTCCGGCTTCTGGACGGGTCGACGATCCGCTCGCGGTTTCCTAGCGGGAAGACGCTCGGCGGGGAGGTGCGCAAGTGGGTTGAGAGCGAGCTTACAGGTAGCGGGAGCGGCGGGGAGCCGTTCCGGTTCAAGGTTGTGCTTGCGCCGCGGCCGAGTAGGCTTATCGACGACACGGAGGAGGGTAAGAGTCTCGCGGAGCTGGGGCTGTCGCCGTCCTCGACGCTTGTGCTGGCGCCTGTTGGCGAGCACGTTGGTGCGTATGCGGGAGGGTCGTCGTTTGGGGAGATGGCTGTGACGTTTCTCTTGCTGCCGTTGACTTTGCTGCAGTGGCTTTGGGGGCTGATCTCTGGTGTGTTTTCTGGGCCGGGGCCGAGGCGGGCGGCGGCTGAGGAGCAGGGCGCGGAGCCGGTTACGGTGAGGGAACAGAGGAAGGGCAAGTTTTCGCAGTTTGCGAATCCTGATGATCGGAGGGGTGATCATCAGCTTTACAATGGCAATTCGGTAAGTTTTCCTGTCCGCTTAAACCCGAGGACAGACGTAAAGATGATGTTGAATCATGATTGCTGACTTAATCATAGCTCAACTTTGAACCGCGACCGGATGAGAAGAAGGACGAGTAAGAGGCTCAGGATGTATTGCAGGCATGTTAGGTGTTGCATCACATTAGACGAGGTGCATAGTGGTTAACGAGTGGGAATGTCATGTATTGTACACCGTCGGGAGATGTAATTCTTCCTCAATGGCCCATCTTTCAATGCTTCCGCCAATGCAAAAATGCCGTTTGAATCCCATGAAAAGCTCCATGCCCCAAAATTGTTTCTTTTGTTTTGCTTTCCCATTTCCCCGTTTTTGACTATTAAGTTACATATAACACCACCCCGACTGGTCGTTCAGCCGGAGGTGGCTCTTCAACACGCCGCAACGACGCCCTTCTCAGACGGAGAAAAGGGGCGTCTAGTACTGGCTGGCGGCGGCCTGGCAGGCCTTGAGCTGCTCGAGGTACCAGTTGCAGATCTGCATGTTGCCGCCGTGCTCGTCCATGCACTTTGTGAACTGCTGGGTGGCGCCGGCGCAGTTGTTGCCCCACTGCTGGGTGGTCGAGGACTCGCCCGAGGCGACGGGGGAGTTGTTCTGGGGCGCGGCCTCGGCGGGCGCGGAGGAACCGCCGCCGAACATGCCGCCGATGGCGTGGCCGATGGAGGAGCCGATTGCGACACCGCTGTTGAGGGCACGATTGATTTAGCTTCTGGTTCTTTCTTGAGATTTCTTTTTTTGAGGGGGTGGTTGTCGAGGAAGGGGGAGAGGTTCTTGGGCCAGGGGAAGCCTAGATATCTCCTCCTGCGGTTGGAGGTGTCTTTTGTAGGATGGGGGACGTACGCAGCGGTGCTAGCCATCTGGCCAAAGAGGCCGGGGCCCTGGGAGGGCGCAGCGGCGGCGGGAGCAGCGGGTGCCGCGGCCGGGGGAGCGGCGTGCTGTTGGGGGGGAGCGGCCATGGTCGTTGCCGGGCGAGTCTGGGTGGGAGCGGGCTTCGCGGCCGAGACGGTAGGGCGCGAGGGGGCGCTGGGGCGGCCGGCGGAGCGTTGGCGAGGCATCTTGGTAGGATTCGTGTGTGTGAAGGACTCGTGAGATGAGGTGCAGTGGTTGGTAGCGTTGATCGTGACTTCGTGAGGTGAAGGAGCGGGTGGTGTTTTGAAGAGAGCAGAAATGCCGGGTGGATGGGGAGGGAAGTCGGCAGAAGTTATGCGCCCCGGGGTTAAGGTGACAAAAGCTGTAGAGGTGCCTTTCGGCGTGTTGCAAAGCTCGGCGGGGTGGGTGGCGAGGTGTGGCCAATCAGGGAGGGCGAATTTGGTCGTGGTCAGAATTTGGGAAGGGTCCTTTCTGGTTAGATGGATATTTTGCTGGGGCGTAGCGGAGGTTAAGGTATATGTATTAAAGGGGGCGGGTATGGCAGTCTGAGTGGCAACGCAGTGGCATACTTCTAAACATGGAATAAGGGTATCTAGACAATACCGACTAGGGATCGAAAAGTCTTTGCTCATTACTTGGTCTTCGTCTCTATCTCCGGGGTATCCTTTTTCCCAGTGCGCAAAATAATACTACCACTCCAGTCCGTAAGGGTAATCTCTAGCCAATGCTGACCTACTTCCATGTCAGGGTGCAGTAAGGTCGGCTGTGATCTTCAATGTGCCTACCATGGTGTCATACAGCCACGCGCACCTCCAACTGGCAGTATCTCTCGTGGCTCGGAGGCGTCTAACTGTTTCGGCGATTCTTCCCCCATGTCCCGTGACAGCCAAACGAAAATCTTTTGTGTAAGCGGGATTGTGGACGTTCATCAAGGTCTTTACGGAATTCCGCTCTCAAGACTTGTTCTTGTTGGAGCTCTTCCTTCTTGAGTTCCTCTGCTTCTTCTCCGGGCCAGAGGAGCTGGGGGACGGCGACTCGGGAGCCGGCCTCTTGGTCTTCTGCATCGAGTTGAGCAGCGCCTTGGCGCGCTCCTCGGCAAGTTTCTCCTCCAGCCTCTTCTTCAGCGTCTGGTCGTTACTTCCCTGTGGTGGTCGGTCAGTTTCGCTTGCTCAGGCCGGACCTCTTTCCCCCTTCAAATGCGACTTACAAGGTCCGCTTTGAGAATGCGCGTCGCGGCTTCCGTGTTGACCGTTGTTGTGCGCTGAGCGGGTGTCTCCTCTGCACCCTTGATCTTGCCAAAGTACTGTTGCACGCGCTTCAGTTCTGTCATGACCTGGTGGTCCTTGGCGTCGACGCCTTGGAGACGGAGTGATGCTGTCATTTCGGTTAGTCAGGGGGACGACGACAACGATATATGTTTGCTGTATAATGATACTCACAGAAGAGAAGAGTCTCGATAGCATAGGCAGTCAGAGCATACATCTTGGCCTTGTCGAGAAGGGGAGCTCGTTGGCCATCTCGGGAAGATTGTCAATCAGGGCTTGAGCGCATCCTCAAGAGAGTCGATGTGAGAATCGAGCTTCTTCAGGTCGGAGGTCATGTCCTTGAGCGCCATGATGGTTGTTGTTGATGCAGCCGCGGAAAAATAAAAATCGATGATTCCAATGTTTGCTGGAAAATGGATGTAGTCCCTTGATGAAAAGCAACAATGAGATGGAGACGATTGATGTAAGTGAGTGTCTGGGCCTAGCTCCTTCTCATCGATGAGACTGGTCGTTGAAAATTCAGAAATCCGGGCGTTGAAGGATTTGCATGCATCTAACGAGGCGCAGGGATCGCCGCGAGCTCGGTGGGTCGGGTTCCTGCCGGCCGGGATTCTACGGCTACCACCTACCACGCGCCAAATTTTGAGAGAACCTAACGAGTGTCCCCGTCATCCACACCCATCTCAACGCCTCCTTCTTGCGACAAAGACAAGACCACACGCTCATTAACCACGAAAAGAGCAGTAATACCCGAACACCATCCCCAACAATTTCGACGACGACGTACACTATCATCGAGTCGTTACAGCTATAACCGCTTGAGAACGCGCCCCAATCCTCCCCTTAATGAGCACTGCGCAGTGATTTGCGCCGAACCCTCGAAGCCTTCATCGTGGCAGGCACTCTGGCAAGCCTCCCGAGACCGCGGCTCTCCGCGCGGACACCCAAAACACATACGATATGGAGGACCGGTAGCGCCTCCACGGGCCGGGGAGCCATCAGATGTGTGTCGATCGATAATAGACTCGGTCTCGGGACGGGAGCAGCGCCGCCGCAGGGCATCGCCCCTGGAAGGGTGGCGCCCAAAGAGATGGCAGCTACGGTTCCTGGAGGCACAACTCTGGGCGTGCCGGGCCAAACGAAACAAAAATTCAATAAAGTACTGGGTCTACAGCCCGAGCAAAACGAAAAGGAACTATACGCCATCTTCAGGGCTGATTCGACGTCACGGTTCTACGTGCCGGCCGTCATGATGGGACACAACTCGACGCCGCCACCTTCGTCGCGTACGGTTCACGTTCTCGGAAACGACGAGCGATCGCTATTTCTGTCACATGCTCTGCACGGCATCTACGACTCGGTCAAGACGCTAGACATACCGGCCAACACACCATATCGGGGCATTGCCGGAAACCTAGGCACCAGGAAGAACCCAAAAGGCTGGATCGAACCGAATGCCGCATTAGAGACCTCGCCGGAAGTGGAGAAGGACGATACACATATCAGCAACCTCGTGGTGTCCGGGAGACCGAGCGAGAGCATCAAGCTACTCGAAAAGGTCAAGCATCGGATCGACGACCGGACGGCCGTCTGCTATGTTCAAGACGGACTCGGCGTCGCGGAGGCGGCCACCAACCGAGTCTTCCCGGAGAAAGACAAGCGCCCGTCGATTATGCTCGGACACATGACGCATTCCCTGGCATTTGACCGAAAGGCAAAGTCGGTCAAGGTGATGACACCCAAATACGAGACGGCGCTCGCCGGTGTGCGGCCCTACTACGGTCCCAAAAAGTCTAAGCACCTCTCGACAGACAGCTGGCTGCGGACACAAGGGATGATGCACAAGGGATGATGAAGCAGTTTGCGTCGTCGGACCTCCTCAAGGCGAAAGGTCTGGCCCTCGACAGTTGGATGAAGGTCAAGATCCCGTCGCTCATGTTCTCGGCCGTCTGCGATCCTATCTGCGTCATGCTGGATTACCGCTACAATGAGCTCATCTACAATCCGACGGCCAACAAGCTCATCAATCAGCTCCTGAACGAGATCGCCGATGTGGTCGCGCGCATGCCCGAAGTCAAGAACTCGCCTGAGCTGCAGAGCGTTCTGCGGGGAGGGCATGCGCAAGGAGATTATGGAAAACTTAGAGGGAAGGGGTCCGCGCCGAGCAAGATGGCGTTGCAGATACAACGGGGCATGTTGACGGATATTGACTATTTGAACGGCTTCTTTATTGAGAGGGGCCGTAGGCGTGAAGCTGCCGGCGAACGAGATGGTCGTGGGTATGGTGAAGGCAAAGCATAAGGCGCAAGTTGAGAAGAACCGGTCGTACATGCCATTAGAGCTGACCTCAAGGAGGTGAATGAAGCGGTCGACGGCTGTACGACTGGACGTCTGTGTGTATTTTACTTGATGGGCGGTTTTAGCATTGTATGACTACATTCAAGCACAGAATCTAGACAGTTTAAATATTTCATCACATATTTTGAAGATCATAAACATTAGTATTGAATATGAGAAATCATTTGGTCTGTTGTGCTAGCTTACGTTGTTTATATTTGGTACTGCACGTCGTCATGAAATTTGTAAGGCGCCCAAAAAAAGACCCCAAGCTCCAACCCCGCCAAAAACTTGGACGTCAGGCAGATCAGAAAGAGCCCCGCGTTTCTCTGACCCAAACAACCTAACCTCCACCAAACCACTCCGCGCAAACATACGCAACAAGATACCCGCAACCATGGACGACTCCGAACTCGAACAAGTATGCAAATCATACCTTTTTCATACCTTTTCTATCGCCAGAGCGCTTGAATACCTGGGACTGACGCACGCGACTACAGATCCGCAAGGCCCGCCTCGAACAGCTCAAGGCGCAAGGCGGCGCGGGAGGCAGCTCCGGCGGCGGCGGCGGCGGCTCGAACAAGCAGCAGCAGCAAGAACAGCGCCAGTATGTTCCCCTTAACCCTCATCTCCTTCTCGAGGCACCTAGATCCCCTCAATTGCGACCGACTCATACCATCCCGACCACTCTCCCTTCTTCCCTCCGCCCACCACGAAGAAACAAAAGACACAAGACATCAGCTAACCCAGCGTCCACCGCAGACAACAAGAACAAGAAGCCCGCCAGCAGATCCTCAACCAGATCCTCCACCCGGAAGCGGCGGACCGCCTGGGCCGCATCCGTCTCGTCAAGGAGCAGCGCGCGGGACGTGGAGAACAGGCTCATCATGCTCGCGCAGAGCGGGCAGCTGCGCAGCAAAGTCACCGAGACGCAGCTCAAGGAGCTGCTCGAGGCCGTGGCGGGGACGAAGGAGGAGGAGAAGATTGTGGTGAGCAGGCGTAAGGGGTGGGACGATGACGATGACGATTTGTTGGATTTGTAGGTGCGCTCTGCAGAGTGTGAGAGAGATCGGGGCAACAGGGGTTCATTTCATCAAGTTTGTGTGTTCTGTTCACGGTGTGTAGGGGTCTCTTTCGATGATGTTTGCCGCGTCGATTTTGAATCGTTTGGCGGGGAGACTATGAACCCACATCTGGGGAGGGGACACCATGCCGGCGTTGGAGGGCGTTTACAAAGCATGACTGCAAAATGTAGCAGATTGGCTTCTGTCCGAGTGGGATTTCCACCAGGACTCTAAGGTTACCAAAAAATCAAACAAAAGCTATACAATATCTGTACAAACCCCGTGTCTATACACAACACACACAATACACACATTTTTCTCAAACCCCCTTCAAAGCCTCCTGCGCCCTCCTCCTCTCCTCCCTCTCCTTCTTCCGAATCTCCCTCATATTAGGCGGCCTCTCAATCCCCAACTCTGCCCTCAACTCATCCACGTCCCTCTCCAGCTGCTCCTCCCAATACACATTAATCACCTCCTTGGCCTTCATCCCATTCTTCACCGCCCACGGCCCATAAATCTCCCTGAACCGCTTCCTCTCGCCCGCCTTCATCGTCGCGTAACTCAGCACCGCGAACCCCGTCATCGGGATCAGCGTGTTGGCGAACTCGAACGCCTTGAGCGCCACCTCGCCCTCCCTCACAATCGGCAGCCCCGTCAGCGCGTGGAAGAAGTCGTGACACTCGCGGTACCGCTGCATCACGTACGCGCACTCCGGGTCGTCGATGTACCGCACCGCGGGCCGCGTGTCCGGGCTCACGCCCTCGGCGTCCAGCCAGGCGACGTAGGCGCGCCCGACGCTGTTGTCCGGCATGGCGCGCAGGCGGGACAGGTTGAGCGAGGTGGACGTGATGCGCGGCCGGTCGCGGAGGATGCGGCGGCCCGTCGGGTCGGAGAGCATTGCGTCGCGGAGGCGGTAGATGAAGGGGCGTCGCGGTGGTCTCGCCTACGGCGGCGATGAGGTCGGCTCGGTAGGGGCTGGAGGACCAGATGCCTGCGCCGAGGCCGAGGGCGGCGCGTTCGATTTTGGTGAGGACGTGGCCTGGGTAGTTTGGCGGTGGGCGGTTTAGGACGGAGAAGGGGCGGCGCGAGTGTGGAGGAGGAGGAGGGTGTCGTTGATGTGCAGGCGGCGCAGATGGCGGGGAGGGCGCGGCGGTTTGGGCCGCCGGGAGGGTTGTGAGGGCTTTCATTGTGCTGATTTGTTTCGTTTATGGTCTTTGGATTGGTGGCATGCCGTTGGATGTCGTCGGGAGATGAGAGATTGTGGGCGAGGGAGCCGTTGAGAGCTGTCGTGAGCTACTTGGTCAGTTTGGAGTTGAAAGTGGTTCGATGACCGGAACACTTTTTGGAAGCTCGGGGCAGCTCCCATTACCTCACCTCGGCGACGGTCCCCCGAGAATTTGGACAGCTAGGGGTCCCGTAGGTCGGATCGGGGAGTCGGTGGATACTAGCGCCGACCTTTCCAATTGGCGATTGCTGCCCGCTGCTGTGCATTTCTTCGGCAGTGGTTTAGGTGAGCATTTTGGTGGTGGGACAGGGCCTGCTATTCCAGATCGTTGGAATTGCACCCCGGCGCATTTGATTCGTCCCTTCAGCTTTAAGGTGAATTTCGTCTCAACTTCTTCCATCTTGTCAACCTTGGAGCTTTCACAATAACAAGGCTCTGCTGCCAACGAAATCTTATTCTCGGGTTCACTAGGTGTGAGCGCAACTCCGAGTTCTTCCAGAAACAGATATACTCGAATCCGGGCCTTCTGGACCTGCACATCTCACTCTCATTCAAATCTGTCGTTTATGGATGAGAGAACCGTACATCTTGCCGGGATAAGACTAAAGGACTACATCTCAAAAGACAACTGCTCCTTGACCAACTTCTCTCACAGAGGCTGCATTTGACTACCAAGTTCTCAAGTCATGCTTGCATGAACTTTCATCACTTCTCTAAAATACTACTACCATTGCCTCGCCCTCCACCATCTACTCCACTCTCGAGTTCTAAACAAAACACCAAATGGACGCCATCGAGAACCTCCTATCCTGGGCCCAGACGCAGGAATAACAGTATCCAACGTCGGTCCCCGCGCCCTCCCAGGAGGCATAGGAATCGTCGTAACATCACCACTCAAAGTAAGCCACACATGTTCACAACCATCATATACCCTCATCTCACTAACACCACCACCACCAGAAAGACGACACAATCCTAGACGTCCCAATTCCCTGCCTCAAAACAATCGCAAACAACCCCAAACCCCTAACCCCCCTTCCCAAAAAAACACGTCCACGCCCTCCTGGCCCTAGACATCGCCCTCGACGCATCCCCCTCCTTCAAAACCTGGTCCGCCGTCTTCCCAACCCCCCAAGACCTCTCCTCCTGCCCGCTAACCTGGTCCGCCTCCTCGCCGACCCTCGCCTCCCTCCTCCCCTCCCAAGCCCTCACCCTCCTCAAAGCCCAGCGCGAGAAATTCGAATCCCACTGGTCCCTCGTCTCCTCCACGCCCCTCCCAGACCCGCTACCCCAGGATGAGGAACACCAGTACCGGTACCCAGAAGGTAGCGACGGCAAACTCACGTACGAGTCCTACCTCCACGCCTGGCTCCTCGTGAACTCGCGCACATTCTACCACGTCACACCCAAAACCGCAAAACGCCACCGCGACGACCACATGATCCTCCAACCCGTCGCAGACCTCCTCAACCACGCCTCCCGCGGCTGCTCCGTCGCCTTTGACAAGCACTCCTTCACCATCAAAGCTGATCGCGCCTACGCCGCTGGCGAGGAGATCCACATCTGCTACGGCCGCCACAGCAACGATTTCTTGCTGGTCGAGTACGGCTTTGTCATGAACCAAGGCGAAAACGAGTGGGATGAGGTCTGTATCGACGACCTTCTGCTGCCGCGCCTAGGTGCCGCGCACAGACGACGGTTGGAGGAAAGGGGGTTCCTGGGGAATTATGTCATTGACGCCGAGACGGTATGCTACCGTACGCAGGTGGCGCTGCGGACGCTCGTGTTGCCGGCGAGGCGGTGGGCGCAGTTTGTGGACGGGTTTTCGGACGGGAGGCGGAGAGCAGCCGAGGTCGATGCGTTGCTGCGCGAGATGTTGTCGGCGTACAACGAGGAGATTGAGTCCAAGATTGAGACAGTGCGTGGCCTGGATGAAGGTCAGCAGTTTCAGCGGGACATGGTAGTGGCCCGCTGGAAGCAGATACAGCTGCTCGTACGCGGCACGATAGACAAGTTGAAGGCTTCCAATACACAATAATCTACCGGTCCCTGCAAAGGAAAGAGCAACGAGGCGTGAAATGACGAAACGAAGTCGTAGATTGTGCTTTTCAGTTCTGAACTGTAACGCCGTAACCGAGGTGCTAGGGACCGTTCCCACGCAGCCATATTCTAATAGTACACATACAATAACTCAAAGCAAACATCTTGCATTTTGGTGGTTGCTATCATCCATCCGTAGCAACAATGAGCTTCACGACGTCGCAGCCAATATACCCGTCACTCATCTGAAGACTAGAGGCCTTGATCAACTGATTCTCTCTGATAAGCGCGAAGAGATCTCGTCGATGAGATAGTCCTCGTCGAAGGAATGAATCCTAATCGTGATGCGATGAGGAGGTCGTGACCGAAAGCTCTACGACGCGGCGACAACTGGATCGCGCTGCGACAAGCCGGTCCGGCCATTACCTCAAGATCGCGCAAACTGCCTTGGCCGGTAGTCCTACTCGGGTCGAGGTCGCTTCGCACCGTGAGGGTTGCCCCAGTCGTTACCACCGCCCTGGTTACCGCCGAAGAATGCAGGGTTGAACTGTTGAGGCATGCCTTGGAATCCTGGGAACGAGTCAGCTTGAGTGTTCTCTGACAAAGAACAAACGAGAAAGCAAACAGCAGAGAAATGTTCAGCGACGAGCCTATTGGTGAGGCGGCATCCTCGAGCCGAACCGAGTAGCTGCAGGGGGTTGAGGGGCAACGATGGTAAACTGCAAACCGCGCTCCTTTGTCCATCGGCCGACCTCTGGTGCAATTACAGGCTTTGGGTGTTCGGATACATGCTTCGGTTGCACCTTCTGCCGTTTGGTGCTCGAAGGGATCTCGTCTCGGCCGGTGTTGGCAGCTTTGCCTTTTCGCCGACCAGAGTGCTTGCGCTTCTGGGTTGAACCAGAGACAAGTCGAGATATTGGGGGGTTGTGACTTCGCTGGGGAGATTTAAAAGCAAGGGGAGTCGTACCAGGCATTCCGCCGCCCATCATGCCCATGTTAGGCATACCCATGTTGGGCATGCCTCCCATCGGGCCCATGTTCATACCGCCCATCGGGTTGTGCATACCGCCTCGCCTCGTCCACGCATGCCGGGGCCGCCGCGCATGCCACCACCGAAGCCGCCGCCCGCTGGAAACCACCGCCGCCGAAATTTCCGCCACCCATGCCGTTGTTGAAGCCGCCGCCTCCCATGTTGTTATTGTTGAAGCCACCTCCCATGCCGCCCGAGAAGTTGCGGTTGAATCCGCCCTGGTTCATGCCACCACGAGGACCATTGAAGCCTCCACGACCACGGTAGCCGTTTCCACGGAAGTCGCCGCCACCCATCGAGGAACCCTGGTTGTTGTAGTTGTTGTTGTTGTTCGGTCGGCTGCCCTGGTCTTTACCTGCGCGGTTCGGTGCATCCTTAGGCAGCGTGCGGAACGGGTTGACGTGGGGGTTCGAGTAAGTGACCTGGTATTTCTTCGGTACGCCTTGAGCGCTGTCTGTCGACTCAAAAGCGTGCTTGGCGGCCGTGGCAGCTTGCTGCGATGTGAACTCGATGTAGGCTTGTCTGTGGGCGAGTCAGCAATAGTACACGCAAATCTACCTCACACTACGAATCATACCCCTTGCTCTTTCCGTTCACCTTGTGTTCACTGAAAGTGATATCCTTGAGCTCGTCCTCGCAATGGCCTGCTCTGGCGTATCCTCTGATGTCGTCGTCCGTGTTCCACCAGTTGAGGTCCGAAACCATCAAAGCTGTGGTCGCGCCTGGATCGATCGGCCGGTCGTCGCCCTTTCTCTTGACACCCTGCTGGGGAGCAGGCGCCTCTTGCTGGTCGTGATATTCTTCCTGCTGGTCGTGCTTCTGCTGATCGTCGTGGTGCTCCTGCTGGTCATGCTGTTCCTGGTGGTTGTCCGCATGACCGTTGGCTCCGTCGTAGTTCTCGGCGTTTCCGTCTTGGTGATCTTGGGGCGCATCGCCGTAGATATCGATCTCGAATTCCTCCTCAGCCATGGTGACGTTATTATCTGGTAGCCGTGAGTTGGGGCAGTGAGCTTGGTTGTAGTTGGAAAAAGGTTGTTATTAGTCTGCGAGATACAGGATATGTCTGCAGTCTTGAACATGATCATCAGCCGCTGCCAATACAGGGTCATTGCCAAAGCCTGAAGCCAAAGACAAAAAGACAAACTCGAACGTAGGATAGAAAACAGAGAACATCTGATACGTACACTCCTCGTTCCGCAGACAGGATGGAAGAGGTTGGATGGAAATTGCCAAGCCAATATAATCCTCTCCTTAGCCAAATAAAAATGAAGACGAAGCTCTGTGCTCCGGTCTTCCCCAATGGCGACGTGACCGTAGTTCTTTCCTTGTTCGGCCCAGAAGCCTTAGGTACAGGGAACAAGATGATGTAGTTGAGACGAGGAGAATGGAAACAGGATCCCGAGATTCCAGAGACTGTTTGCTCGTTCTGCCACCGCCTTTGGCCGACGCTCCAACCGCGTTCCTGCCCGCTCACTATGTGGGCGATGCTGTTAGCCGTGATGAGTTAGTGGTCAAGCCCAATGAAGGTTTCCGGCGGATTCGCGAGTAAGCCGCGGCTGCGCGTCGCTTCGCTGAGTATCTGGCGTTTATCGCGATGACTGAAAAATAGACGCGTAGGTTAGCTTGGGTAGAGCTGTGATATTGTCGTGCAGCTCAGGTATGGACGTCTCGGTTTGATGTTGACGCGAAGAAAGAGATGCGGTCGACGAAGGTGAGTGGAGGAACGTTTGGGAAGGGAAAGAAAACTGGGGGGAGCTCTTTCAGGAGCTGAGGTCGCATCTTGAGCCAGGCGGGACTGGACAAGGGCCATGGCCGCCAGGCTGCGGCAGGCACAGACTCCGCCAGTGGATGCCCGTATGGGGCTCGCGACTGCCCGCTGAGCCGATACGTACCTTACCTCCTCTCCCTGTCATGCGCCTGAATGCGCTGAACTGTGGCTGGTCAAAATGGCCCAGACCAGACCCTCTCTGCCCACTAGCGGGGGAATCCAGGGGGTCTTCCTCCACTGAAGGGGAGCACCAAGGGAACTCCTATCATCCCAACCTTAGATAAGCAATCTGTCCAGTGGCGTGCGCCTCGGCGGCCGGCGCATTATTCCTCCATGCCTCCTTTATGGCAATCTGGCTCTTCCTTCCACAGCGGGAGCTTGTCCCGAAATTTTGGGGACCAGTTGGTGACAGCGCGCTCAATTTAACACATCTCCCTTCTACCCATTCGAACCTCTCGAATCTTCCACCTCCCCGACCTGCAACGCCTTAACTACACGTCGTCGCGCCTTTCCTTCATCGACTTTGCAGTTTCCTGTTACCCTGCGGCCCATTGGGATTTCCTTTGCGACTTTCATCAACTTACCCACCCCTCTCTTCTCCGCATCCCACGCGCGCTTCTATCCACAATGGCCGACCAAGTCAAGGAGATCCTCGAGGTTCCTCCGAGTTCGCTCAGGAAGGTGTTCAGTTCATGAGAAGGTGCACCAAGCGTACGTTGCGCCCTGTTGCATTGCCCCTTCGTTATTCGAATACTAACGTGTCCTTTAGCCGACAAGCTCGAGTTCCTGAAGCTCTGCCAGGCCGTCGGTGTCGGTTTCCTCATCATGGGTGCTGTCGGCTACATCGTCAAGCTGATTCACATTCCCTTAACAACATCCTTGTCGGAGGCGCATAAACGCCATGTATCTACCTGTCAATGGAAGCACCGATATGTCGGGCCAGCTTCGAACACGTTCACGTCGACACGTGACGACCAAACATGATTTTAAACGCAGGGATGGGTCTCAAAAGCATTGCACGGGCAGATTGCAGAAGCGGCGCAGCAACACTTGGAAGAGGTGCTGTGCGGGAGTGATGGGAGATACCCCGAGACCAAAGAGGCTTCATCGATCATGTATCATTGCCAAAAGAGGGGTGGACATGTGTGGAAGATGTACAAAATAATTAAAAACAGAGCTTTCCAAAAGTGATCCGGTTCCTGACGAGAAGTAACTAGCTTTGGAATGATTCGCCAACGGGGCGCAGCTTCTCGTCGACATTGCGACCCATTGGCGGCTCTGCCTCGTCATCTTCGGCTTCATTGTACGAATGCAGCGTGCAGGTCCCGTGAGCCATGTTGAATCCGTTCCATGCAGACGCTGAAAGACGTTAGCTATAGACCGAAACTCGCAGAAATATGAAGGACTTACCAGCGAGGACTGGCGCATTGGGATGCCAGCTCACGTCGCGCACGCACGTGTTCCAACCGGGGAAGTCGTCGCCGTGATATATACGGTATCTGCGCTCCAGTGGCCGCGAGTTCTTGGTGGCCTTCCTCACGTCGATGGTGCCAGCGAGCGTGGCGTCCATGTTCCAAATGTAAACCTTGCCATCCTGACTACCAGAGTAGACATAACGCGAATTGGTACTTGATGGCGGTGAAAAGTGGCATCGAATCAGCGTGCGCATTACACGGTGTCCTCTGAATGTCACCAACGAGTTATCGTTGGGGTGCGGGAACCAGTCTTCGTCCCTATATGTTCCCCACCGGTAGTCGAAGTCGCTGTTGCTGGTTAACCTAGTGGGGTTGACCTCGTCGTACTTGGCCGTGGACATGACCATCCTCAAGTCCCAAAGCTTCATTGTCTGGTCCTTGCCGTTACTCAGAATGTATCGACCGTCGCCTTTACTGTCAATGTACGTGAGACCTTCGACATGGCCCACGAAAGCGCCAGCTGGCCGGCCGTCTCCCATGCTACGTCGATCCCAGACTTTAATTGTGGCATCGTCCGATCCAGAGTAGAGAATGTGCGGAGAAGACTTGTCCGCAAAGCACACAGCGTTCACGTCGTCTTCGTGCCCGACGACATTGTGTAATACAGTGCGCGATTCAATGTCGTAGACGACGATCGACTGCATGTTGGTGCCGGCCACGAGCTCACGACCGTCTCCCGAAAATCTGACAGACCAAATACCAAAGGAATGTCTCGATCGCCATCCTGCGTGTCGAGTTCCCGCACTCCTCTCTGCCAGATCCAAAGTGTATGGGTCTCCCGTGTCGTTGGGATCCGTAGGTGCCAGACAAACGTTGCTTTGAATTGATGTATAAGCAAGCCAGCGGTTGTCAGGACTCAAGGATGCGTCGGTCAGTGTCCACTGTCCCCAGGGGTAATTAACCGTCTTGTAATATTTCCAATTGTACGGATTCGATGTGTCGTACATGCGGACCTTGAAGTCGTGACCGCAGGCGTAAAAGAAATTACCGTCGTCGGAGAACTGGCCGGAATACACAGGGTCGTCGTAGTGCACAATCATTTCGGGGTTTGTCGAGGGTATCATTCCCTGGGCCATGAGATCTTGGTTCTGCTTCCGGTCACGCCTATCCCCCAGACCGAGCTCACGGTCTAATATCCTGCGTGCCAGTTGCTTCTTCTTCGTCACTCGATAATCGTTTGCGCCGAAAACGCCAGAGTGCATCAACTTCGTGCCCTCCTCGCTCGGTACTTTAGGGAACCGATTCGGCTCCCGTGCGCGAGGCCGTCTCCGTCTTCTTCCCCAGCCAATATCTTCGTCATCGTCTTCGTCGTGAGTGGTGCGTAATGTCACTTCGCCACTTTGAATGAGGCCTAGCAACTGTGCTCGTGTAAGAAACCCTGTTCCGTTGCCCGCAGCACCAGCTGTATCGTAGATTAGCGAGATTAGCACACGATTCGACTTGAGCCTCAGGTTTTGACTCACTGATGAGAGTCATGAGTCTCGATATTGGATTAGCGGCCATGCCGTCTTCCTCAGCATCATCGTCGTCCTCGTCGCCCATGAACACTTCCACCTCTACGTTGCTGTCCTCGCCGTCCTCAGCATCTGCGCATGGTCAGTCTCTGTATGGTCCAACGTCAAAGAGAGGTGATTGCTACCGTGAAACTCATCATCGTCGTCCCCGTCTTCTTCCTCTGGCTCATCTTGAAAGTCGGGGTCGTACTCATCGTCGTCGTCCATTCCTTCGGCATCTTCCGGATCATAGGTATAAGTCCAGGCAGGCTCATCATCCTCTTCAATCAAATTCATGCTTGCTGATGGCGATCGAATGCTGTCCCCAGAGTCGTCCATTTTGGCTTTGGGTTCACACGGAAGTTCGGATTGATGCTTAGTGATACAACGGAGCTCGGATTTGAGACTGCCGACGTGTGATGGAGGGTCCTATGCAAGAATGTCCGTGGCAATCGTTTAGATGCCGAGCTATATGTACGTGGTGCGTTCTAAGGCTGACGTGCAGGAGAGCAAGACGATTAAAGTGAATAGGAGAGACAATAGGACGCAACGCTCAGATTATGTTTCATGAAGAAGTGGTCGTTCGTGACGACATTCATTCAGTCCCCGGGGGAGGTGGGGTGTCCTGGACCAAACGGCGGAGATAAGATAGCACAGCTGCTGTAAGCTCCGGCAAGCCAGTGGCGCCAGCTGTTGAAGCTCCCGTCTCCTCGGGCACTTTAGAGATACGTACCCTTTTCGGGTCGAGCCAAGCATCTTCTTGGAATTCTGTCAGCAAATCTGGGGTCGACTGGATGCAACCTGGTCAGATGCGAGTCAAGCGCAACGCAGCACACCTTCGAGTGCCGTGTGTTCTCAAGTACACCAACCGGTTCACGAAATGATAAAGAAGGGTTCAGCGAGGACAATCCTATCTATTAACGTAGCTGTTATACATATGTACGGCGGCATTGAAAGTTTGTTTTACACCCTACGCATGCATGAACAGTCGATTGTCTGCAGTTCAACTGCTTAATGCGCCTATATGTCTTAAGCCGTTATCCGACATTTCAACTGTCCTCTATGTAAATATCCACCTCAGAGCCTCTCTGGCGGAAACATTCTAGGGGTTCCATGATCCCCATTGTCGCCCCCTGTGGGGCGCCTCAAGGAATTCGGAACATGGGGGGCCACGGCGGGCGGCGGCGCGTCCAGTTCTTCCCACCTCACGTCCCAGGTACCCTCAGGTACTTGCTTACCCCGTGGCCGTGCAGCAAAAGATACGTAACAATTTTAGAACCCGTGGCTGAGCAGTCGCATTGCCAGAGGAAATCAGAAACCACCTAAACATCCTTCCTTTTCTTTTCCCCCTTAGCAGAGGAGCAGAATATTTCTCGAGCTTATTTGCAAACTCTCCTTTACATTTCACATCCATTGTTCAGATACCAGCGAGGCTCGACAGCCCGAACCAGTCATCATGAGGCTGCGCACTCGACCCTCCCCTTTGCTCCTCCTCCTCATCCCATCCCTCGTCGCTGGTCTCGCCGTCGAAACCAAGGACAAAAATGGCGGCAAGGCCGTAGCTTCCACAGAAAAAGCCACCGACTCGACCGTCACCTCTGGCATCAAGACCAGATACGGCACTGATCACGCGCCTGTCGATGGCAAAGATGGCATGCCCCACGAGGGTCCCTTCGTTGACCAGACCCGAGAGACCAAGAAAGAGAGTGCCGAAACAGATGGCAAGAAGGGATTGCCTCCCTTGAAGGGACGTCCGTCCGACCCAACTGTTGTCGATGGCAAGAAGATCCCCGAGACCAACGACGGTGTCATGAACGACAAGACACGCCAGAAGCCCAAGGAGGGAACCACGGGCACCGAAGGAGGTGTCAGCGAAAAGGATAAGGCGCGCAAGGCAGCCGAGGGCCGGACTGGCGAAAAGGCCGACAACAAGCCCGAGGCCCCCAAGGAGAAGCCCCCTCTGCCGCACAGTGAACAGGAGAAGCTTTCGAGCGAAAAGGACACCACCACTGGCAAAGAACACGATCATGATCACCACACTGCCGACGAGGTTGCGGGGCTCGAGGTGAGTTTCTTGGTTGCCATCCCATTGGCCGAGACGTGAAATGCTGACATGCAACAGAAACCGGCCGGCCTCCCTGACAAGCTCGACGACAAGCCCAACCCGCTCCCCAACTCGGCGCACAAGGACCACTTGGATCTTTCAAAGTCCAAGGGCAAGTCTTCTTCCAGCCTCGACGACGAAGCCGAGGGTGTCATCCAACCCTTCCACTCCTTCGTCCTGTCTCTCACCATGATTCTCGTCTCCGAAGTTGGCGACAAGACCTTCCTCGTGGCTGCCCTCATGGCCATGAAGCATGACCGGATGGTCGTTTTCTCCGCCGCCTTTGGTGCTCTTTTGGTTATGACGGTCCTGTCGGCCGTTCTCGGCCACGCTGTCCCGACTTTGATCCCCAAGCGTGTCACCAGCTTTCTCGCTGCTGGTCTGTTCTTCGTCTTTGGCGCCAAGCTCCTTCGTGAAGGCTTGGGCATGGACCCTAACGAGGGTGTGACTGCCGAGCTACACGAGGTCGAGCGCGAGCTGGCCGAGAAGGAAAAGGAGGGCAAGAGACGGGGCTCTGCGGTGTCTCCCTACGCGCTGGAGATGGGCCTTAACGGCAGCAGGAAGTCTAGGTCTAAGAGCCGTTTCCCCTCGCCCCCGCGCTCGCCTTCCTCTTCGCCGCCTCGCAGCCCTTCTCCTGGTTCTGGTGGCATCAGAGGCTCTCTTAACGGTCTGAACAACCTCCTCGGTCTTCTTCTCAGCCCTGCTTGGGTCCAAACGTTTGTCATGACTTTCCTGGGCGAATGGGGCGACCGCAGTCAGATTGCAACGATTGCCATGGCTGCAGGACAGGACTATTGGTGGGTTATTCTTGGTGCCATGGTTGGCCACTGCATTTGCACAGGTGCTGCCGTCATTGGCGGCCGTGCCATCGCAGGCCGTGTCAGTCTCAAAGTTGGTAAGTTGTCATGGCATCTACGCTACAAGCTCTCCTAGCTAACATAACACAGTCACGGTTGGTGGCGCTGTGGCTTTCCTGGTGTTCGGATTCATCTACTTCTTCGAGGCTTTCTATGCATGATCAACGAAGCCAATGTCTACTACGCTGCTCATTTCCTATAACCTTTTTACATGTATAGAATATGTCTTTCCTCGTGTCTCATCACCCTTCAGTGATGTGCAGCATTACAGCACACTACACGTTCGTTACCTACAAATTATTAATCACAAGTGTGTGGTCTTCCAGACGGTCGATGACCCTGATACAGGATGGGGATTAAGGGTCTGGAAGACTGCACGCAGCAGACCGTCTCCTACACTGTCTGGCCATGTATACGAAATCAACGGTAAAAGGGGAAGGGATTCTCCTTGGAAAACTCAGTACGCAATCCATGGGTTGCAGCGGAAAGTCGAAAAAAGAAACAGAGCGTGGAGATGTCAAATTATGTACAATAGGAAGGTCGCTGGCCATGGGGCATAGGGTGGGAGTTCAACGGAATGCGAGAGGTCTATCTCTGGGCTTGCCATGCTGTCGAAGAGGCCTTGACTCGGTTGTTCATCGTATATGATTTGCTTGTCTTCAGTCCACCCTCCGTGTTCTCCTCTTCCGTGCAGAATGCTCCGACGTTTACTCAGCCGATTCCACAACAGACCGAATGAACCACCATCGCCAATTAGTATGCATTCGCGTATATCGATTAATTTTAATCACTTTGCCTCGGCTAAGGCGAGACAAGCACGTCGTCATGGTTGATCTAGTCTCAAGCTAAGGTAGTAGCGGAATCAGCGCCATCTTGGTCAGCAACCCGAAATCCCGTTTGGTGGCTCAGGAAACAGCAGACCCCACACCTCGCTCAGATGTACATAACGATTCCATCATTACCAACATCCTCTTCAATATTGAGCCTTTGTCTTATACAAGTGTTGCAAGTCCAACGAAATCAAGCCTTGGCATTCCAATTCTTCTCACACTCTGAAGCGGCAACTTTGGCAACATTCAGCACACGCCAACATAAGCCTTTGTTGCGGCACCATCTCCACTCCACTCACGAGCGTTCGCATGATCCCAATATCGTCAACTTCGATCTCCAATCTATTGAATGCTCCCAAGAACCAAGAGACCCGAAGCCGTCTCATTCGGGGGCCTCGCCTCCGCCACCAACCTCCCGCGCGTTGCGCAACTCGTACAGAAACGCCGACAGACCAATCCCAATCCACGACTATGTGAGCGGTGCCAGGACTGGGACGTCCCCGACTTCGCTGCCGGTCTGGGGTCCAAGGCACATCATTACGTCTCTTTAGAGAACATCTTATATCGATCTTCCAATTGTCTCTTTTGCTGCGCGATCGCGGCGGCTGTTGAGGAGCGGCGGCGGGAAGATGAATATCTGCGTGACTGCTCCGACGCATGCTTGTTCGTTACGCTCCAGGGCCCTTTCTTCCTTGACTCGGGGTTAGCTGAGAACCAGAAGTATCGGTTGTTCGCCTCTTCCGATGATGAAGTTTCGGTGAGGATGTTTCTGGAGTTGACTCTGAGTGCCGTGCCAGACAAGTCGAAGCTGGGGGCTTTGGATTCGCTCCCATCTCCTTTTGCGGTCACGCCTCAGTTTTGCTTCAGATACTCGACAGACGAACCTCAAAGGCTCCAGGCGATTGAAGGTTGGGAGGCTGAGCATTTTGACGTTCAGACGTTGAAGGTTTGGATTGATGGTTGCGAGATTCTCCACGGCCACCACTGCGTGAGCAAGTACAAGTCGATTGGTAAGTGGCCATGGGCAGCTCGACTCTGCGCGCATGAACTCTGACAGGACAACAGATCATCTACCCATCGGGTTCAGGGTCATCGACGTTCATGGAATGAAGATTGTCAAGCCGTCCAGGCCGGTCCGCTTCGTTGCTCTCAGCTACATGTGGGAAGCCTCCCAGGCATCGGGACATGCCCAACTAGAGACAACTAACGCCGAGGACCTGGAAGCTCCGGGGAGCCTCAAGTCTGTCAAGCTACCACGCATCATTCTGGACGCGATTTCTCTCTGCAGAGACCTCGGAGAGGGCTATCTATGGGTGGACCGTCTTTGTATCGTCCAGGATGATGAGCGATCGAAGCCCGACCAGATAGACGGCATGGACCGGATCTACCAGTCTGCGTCCTTCTCAATTCTGGCCGCGCTAAATGATCGACAGGGAAATGGATTTCCTGGGTATGCTGGCAACCCTAGGAGGCCTCGCGCCTCCTTATGGTGCCCGCCGCGGAACCGGAACGTTGGGAAGGGTATCGACCCGAACGGTCTGCAAACAGTAGTCGACGCATCCCTGTGGAACCGAAGAGGATGGACATTCCAAGAGAGGCTACTCTCCAGGCGCAGCATCTTCATCACGGAGCACCAGGTCCTGTTCCAATGCTGTCGGGGTCACGCCGCCGAGGAACTTACCTGGGGGCGAGGACGACATGAAGCTCCTACCAACGTGTTCAGTAAGGAAGCAGATCCACCACAAGCGGAAGAGCCCATCGACGAACACGATTCAGAAGCTCATCATGCAGCTCAAGAGGACGTCGAAGAATCAACGACCGAGAAGAAACCACACCGCATGCCCAGCATACCCGGCTTCTACCGCCGAGCGCTTCACAGCAAAGACGCACCAGTCAAGTTACGCGGCCAAGTATCACTAGCAAACTACTGCCAGTGGGTCGAAGACTATACATCGCGACAGCTCTCCCGCGAAACAGACATCCTCAACGCCTTCGCGGGCGTCGGCAACGCCGTAGGCGAATCCATGCGCACGAAGATGACGTTCGGCCTGCCGGACATGTACCTCCCTCAGACGCTCATGTGGAGTCACACAGGTGCCGTCCGACGTCGAGATGACGCAGGTTTGAAGATCCCGAGCTGGAGCTGGGCGGCGTGGTCGTCTGTCGAGGGGGGGAGTGCTGCGAGCTATCGGTGGATTCACGGTGATGCGCGACTATACGATACCAAGCTCGTGCGGATCGTGACGCTGGTGCAGTTTCACGTACATGATGCCAGACGCGTCTCCTCAAGGCATGAAGACGACGGAAATGGACTGCGTAAAGTCAAGGTGACGGAGAGGTGGCTGGGCAGCTGTATGCAACTGGCCAAGATGAGCGGGATCGAGAAACTGCCGCCCTTGCAGAGGAAGATGGCCGGGGGCAAGTTCAACGTCTCTGAAGAGATCAACGAGAAGTATATTGCCATGTGGCGGGAGTGTCCGCACAGCCCGTGGGAGGCTCTCGCGCACGAGGAGCTCGATCCGGAGGCCGTCGAGGTAGCGGCTGGCTTACCGGGGGCGCTGGTGTTTAACACGACTGTTGCCTCGCTCCGAGTCGGGCGGGACCGGAGGATGATGGGCGCGAGAAGGGGTGATTGCGAGGATGCCGAGATTCTGGATATGATGGGGAGACATGTTGGGTATCTGGATAAGATGGACACCCGTTGGATTTCGGGACGGAAAGGAGCGAGGGATCGGAGGACGTTGCTCGATTTCATCGTTGTTAGTGCTTCTGTTGACACCGAGGTCAGCGAGAGCAATGAGTGGGCGTTTATTGAGGGGCAGTTTCATGAAATGTGGCGGTTTAATGTCATGCTTGTTGAGAGGGTGCCGTGTACGCCGTTTGTTGCGAGGAGGGTTGGGGTGGGATATGTTTGGCTTAGCCAGTGGAGGGACTGTAATCCTCGTTGGGAGACTGTGGTTCTCTGCTGAGAAGAGAGTACCAGGTCTGTACGGGAAACATGAGTAAATACTTTCGAAGGAGAACGCTTCGTTGCTTTCGTATCCTCTTGCCAAAGTGTACATAGTTAAACTTTGTATATATCGCAGTTCAAACAACTTTTGAGGCCTTGAATACCTACCTAATCTAAACATAATCCAACCCCAAAAGGAGAAGGGATTCGTGGTGTGCGGGGCTCAGCCTATCAATTTGAGAGTCAGGAGTTGGTGCAGCTTGACTGCATGAGTGGTTGGTGGCCCAGCCCAAGGCAGATCAGCTAGGCTCTCAGCCTGGATGCCCAACGGCGACCTAGCCATCACTTTGAGTACATATGACGTGCTAAAGACCACCAGGCTCAGATCGTGAATGACATCCGGGGAATCTAAAGCCAAGCCCAACTTAATGGCACCTCCATATTCCAACATCATGGAAGACCAGAACCCTTACAAGTGAGGAGACAATGTAAATGAGATACAAGTCGTATTCTGACGTACCTTAAGAGAACTAGATCGAGGTGACTCCCCTCAGATCCGTTTACTCAAGATCGAATCAGCAAAGAGCAACAACGAAGTTATAAAAGTCAATCTCTACACCAAGAGCTTGGATAAATCGCCTCCTTTCAAAGCTCTTTCATACGCATGGGGCGATAGCAAATGTACCTCACGTATCCTTCTCAATGGTATTTCTTTCGGCGTCACCTGGAATCTCTACGATGCCCTGGAAATTTTACGATCGAAATCGAACGAGTACTTTCTATGGGTGGACGCACTATGCGTGAACCAGAAAGACGCTTCCGAAAAGGGCCATCAGATTTCGCTGATGGCACGCATCTACTCTGAGGCTCATGAAGTCTTGTGCTGGCTCGGGCCGTCTACCGATGACGGTTCGGTTTTGCCGTTTTTACGAAAGTGCGCAGAATTGGGTCGTGCACAAGAAGTACCCTTGCCCACTCCAGACATCTTGACAACTTTCGCATCCAAGTCGAACGCGGTTCGGAGCATACTTCTCCGGCCGTACTGGTATAGAGTATGGGTGGTCCAAGAAAACGCATTAGCCAGGAAACGCCTCTATTTATGTGGAAGTCATGAGATTAGCAGCGACGATCTTTATTGGGGCCTGGCACAGATAAAAGATACTCTCTTCCTGGCACCGGAACGGCTTTGCAATCAGTCGTTTTTGCAGGCAGCCGACGACGTCCACAACTTCCATGGCTACAAGATGCCAGCCAACACTCTCATAGCACCTCGCAAGCTCTATAATCATACAATGTCAGAGCCTCTTTCCCTATTAAACGAAGTAATGATGGATACAGCCCGGCTTACGGCTACGGATCCTCGGGACCATCTCTACGGCATCCTTGGTCTGTTTCCTGACCTGGCTCACCTGATCAAGGTGGATTACATCAAGAGCTCGGCTGCCACTTTCTTGGATTTCGCCCTACTAAATCTGAAGGAAAACCCCAGACTCATAGCGCGTTCTGGAATTGGACACAAGTATTGTACTCGGGGGCGTAGGTCTTGCGATAATCTGCCGTCGTGGGTCCCAAATCACAGCGGGCCTTTTGTCGAGAGCTATGCTGGTATCAGCCCTTGGACGAAGAACAGATATGTCGAATTTGAGGCCGGAAATTTCTTTCCGCAGGAGCCGGAATGGCATGTTGAACTAGTTACCCTGGTTCTTCGTGCAAGTGGTGTAGAGTTGGGCAGAATTACTTCCGTTTCAAGCCCGAACATGCCCTTTAACAAGAGAATGGTCGAGTGGGACTGCTGCGCGGCAATCAATGCCACAAATCATGCCTATAGTACTTGGAGGTGGGCATTTTACCGTACAATTTTGATGGATCGTGACCGCGTGGTATCAGACATTCAACAGTCGCCGAAGAACGAAAACGAAACGATGGATTCCATCGATGAACAGAATCTCCTCGGCCCCATCCATTCTATGTGCGTGAAAGACGCATATGTTCGGCTCATGCGCTCTGCTTTCAGTTTGTACCCAAGGAGAATTTCTCGAACAAAGATTGGCCATGATCCACCGGTTCACTCCATCCCTTCCCTCCGGGCAGAGCGATCATACTGGCTTCAGAAGAACAAAAAGTCTCAGCTCAATGATCTCTATCATAGCGGAGATAACCAGCCCAGAGTCCAATCGTTTTCCCATGACGAAAAGAGGGCGGCTAAAGTGATGCTAGGATTTCTGAAACGTACTTTGACCAACGAGGTCGATAGGATAACACGGGATAGATCCTTCATTGTTACTGAGTCTGGGCACATGGGACTGGCCCCGTTAGGCGTGCAGGTTGGAGACCACGTCGTCGTAATAGGAGGGTGTGCTGTACCTCTCGTTCTTCGGAAGCAGGGCGAAGCTTACCAAGTTATTGGGGATACATATGTATGTGGCCTCATGGAGGGACAAGTGTCTGAGAATGTGTCTGCTGGAACTGCCCACATTGAAGAATTCAAGCTTATTTAGGTGAACCTCCAGGGGCTTCTTCTTCATTCTGATGGGAGGGGGCTGTGTATACAATGATCAGTTCGTGTCAAACTGCACCATGTCCTTCAACATGGCTCTGCCTTCCAGCTCCCTGTACTTCGTTTGCAATTTGCCTGTGTAACTCGTCCTCAAACCCGCTTGAACTTGGAACATGTCAATAACTTCGCACGGAAAATTTCGATTGTGACGTGTGGCAAAAGAACTCATGACTCCAAGCTATTATCACGACATCTTGGCACTTGATGAAACTTGTTGAGAATATGCTAAGCGTCATGAAGACAGAAGAAACAAATCTATTGTAATTGAAAAAGGAAACATCTAGTCGCTTCGGATTGGCAGATTATACTAGTGGCCGCCTGTTAATACTTGCATACAGTGGCCCCTTGGGCTCTCTTTAAGGGCATTCTCCAACTTCTCTTCAGTAGTATTTTGATCGTGCTGATATTGAGAAAAAGTGCGAGTCAGGCACACGCCCGGAAGTCGTTACGCCTCTCGGTTTCGGGAACCAATCCCCTAGAACAGATAGACAAAGCCGAATTACTCGCACAGCTCGCATCAAATTTCGGGCATCCCGCAACTCTAAATTTCTTAATCCCTAAAATTGCGTAGCTCTTGTGAGTCTTGAGAACTACTACGTTGATCAAAAGTATATAACCTCGCAATGGCCCCGCACAGCCCAAGTTCAAAGCATGCCGATTATCCGCGCGACTTGGTGAGTGCGAGCAAGTAGCAATCTATCAGATAGTAGACTATGAAAACTTTCCTTATTGTAACGACACGCGTGACTTTGATAAGTTGTTGATCTACAAACATAAAAAATCCACGCCCTAAATGCCTTTCGTACACGCACGTCGCCAACGACAATACATAAACCAGCACTGGCTTTGCCAAGCCAGAGTTAACGCTCTACCCTCCATTCCCGGTTGATTATTACTATCACTTGATTTTTCTCTTGTTCGATTACTTCCAAAATGAAGCTCGCTCTTCTTCTTTCCGCCGTGACCACTGTTTCAGCCTGGTCAGTAACATTCCACGACCACGACCAATGCGCCGGCGGTACGACATTCCACTACGGTGGTGGCTCCAACACGGGAACCGAACACCTCGCCCAGTGTTTCACCATGACGAGTATCAACAAGAGCTTTGCCAACTATGACGCAAAGAGCGTCAACATCGTCTTTGGAGGCTGCACGATTGATATCTTCACCGACAGGCTTACACGGCCCGGTCTTGCAGGCTGCGTGGCGTCCATTAGCGATCCCACCAACTGGCAGCGTATCAATCAGGTTCAGGACGGATGTGTTCAGTGAGTGATCCTGGATTAGAGCTATATATAGTTATTGACCAACGCTGTTACAGATTATCGAGCTCTAAGCTCGGGAAGTGGCAAGCTTGGTCTGTATCCTGCTGATAAATGTATTGTTATTCAGGTCGTAGAGAAACCTAAGGATTTGTCTGTAGTAAATTGGAAAGTTGCCCGCCGTCAAAGATTCAGTTACAGTAATATAACACAAAAGCTTTCCAAACGTTGATAGAGGCTCGTCCAGTACCAGTCGGCAGTGTATCTATCTGACGGCGGTTTTGGTACGGTCACGTCATGCGTGTCGTTTCGTCATTGATAAGAGACCTGAGACAGACTACAAAGTCTTTGCTTCTGTTGCATTCTATCGATTACCCAAAGTCAATTGGGTCTTGGCAAAAAGTTAGTTAAACATATCTTGTGATCCATGTAATGAGGTATTAAGGATTCAGAGTTGCTGTTGTTGGGTCCGGGGTTTAGCGACCTACTTTCAGCCAAATGAAGGTGGTTGTTAATCACTCACACCACTTGAGTTGGAACTAAGCGCCCGCTGGAGTCTCCTTGCCATTATTAGACATCAGAGAAGATCGTTCTTACTGATAAGTGAACGGATCGTAGTATCAATGCGGTGGTGGCCTTTTTACCCTTCGTATAATCTCCTTGCCACGCCCCCAGAAGACCGCCACGAAACATATTCCAGTCGCTACACAATCAGTCTCTTCTAAGTTCTCGGCAACAATTCTCTGCAAAAAGAATGTAGAAATACCTCAAAGTGGTCTGGCAAGTGCGAGCAAGATAAACAGGGTGAGTTGGTATATGTTGGTATCCCTATCACAGGGATATTAGTCGATTAGTTCGAACCGTGGGTTAACGTAGTAGTAGGTTAATTAACTATATAATTCTACTACATACGTATAAAAAGGAGGTTCTAATTACAAATTAAGTAGGCTATAATAATTAATTATACAGTTAATATATAGCCCCTACGCTACTACGAGGTCGAATTAGACTTCTAATCCAATATTAACTTTCTTTTTTTTTTATTATTTAATAACGGCGATTAGAGGTATAATTTAACCTCTAGCTAGCCCATTAAATCTACTCCTTTCTCCTCCTTCTACTACTCTTTTTATATAACTTATTTTTTTATTTATATAGTTATTTTCTTTTTATTAACGAATTATTCTAACCCTTTATTAAGTATAGTTTTTATAAAAGCGTTAGCTAGGTTATTATCCCTATTAATCTAACGGATCTTAAGGATCTCTCGTTATTTATATAACTACTTAAGGGCTATAATATTGATTATAAGCCTCTTCTTTTTTATAGTACCTAACTTAACGAGGTACTCGTATAGTAAGTATAAATTAGTATAAATAATTATAAAGATCGTAAAAAAGTTAAGTCGATCTATAATCTTTTTAAGCATAGTAGAAATTGCGTAGGTAATATCTATACTATTTACTATCTTATAGACTTTTAATATAAATACGCTCTTAGTAACTCGCTTACTTTTTATTAATAAGTAATAAATTATATTACTGTTACGGCCAGCTAGTCGTAGTGAGTATGTTAGCAGAAGTTGAGGCTGCGATAACTAAGTAAACAGTGTCGTAGTCGTGGATAGCTTCCCTGAAGCTATGTCTGTAAATCGTAAGGTGGGTAAGGCTTCGGTGATCAATCGTAGTCTTGTCAGAAGGGGTTCTCAGTGAAGATAGCTGAAAGCGATCGTAAGATCTGATACTAAGTTGATTGCTGAAGAAGCTATGGAAGTCTGTCCTTGTGCCCGGCTCAAGTCCACACTATATACAAGTCTCGTTCCTGAACATATTCTTTGTCCGTATGTTTACCCAACGGTTCCCGTGTTCTGAACATACGGGTTCCGTATCGTGAAAGGACGGACCCCATCTCGAACGTACGGAGTTCCTTATCTCTTATCGTCACGTGACTTGTCCCATAGTTCTCCGTCCCGAGAGGAGTCGCCCTGAGTTCGTGTTCCCGCATATATGGTGTGGTAGCCGCCGTAGGTCCTGTGGGGCAGGCCCTGGCCTTGTCATGCGTGTTGGGTCGTAACATCAGCTCCTCCTCTCAAAGGTCTAGTCCTCTAGGCCTATAAGTAGGTCCCTTGTTCCCAGGTTGGGGAATCATCAAGCTTGCCTTTCTAGCGCAATGTGCTGACACGATGTCAGGTCGTGTTGAAAAACGTTCTTTGAAAAACACTATCTCGAAACTTCGGTCGGCTTGTGACGACGTGTTTGATCGTTTTGGTTCTAGCGACGTTATGCCCTGCACTCGGTGTTTTCGCGCCAAACGTCCATGTCGGATGGCTGATGGCGCCAAACGTGCCAAGGCTGCAAAACCTGAAGCGTTCTTGCGATGGTCTCGTTGTGGCATCGAGTCGTTCGTGCTTCCGCCGTTGTTCCGGTTTCTTAGGCTGACTATTTCGTAGTGCAACGGCTGAGTGACCAGCGTCAAGAATGGGAAGAGAAGGAGGAGCAGGCTAGCGACGCCTTGCTCGATCTTCATGAAAACTGGCTCGGATACAGTCAGAGGTTGCTGAGGCAGCGGGCCGTCTTGCTCGTATCCGGGCGATCCGAAAGAAAGTGAAGGAGAGGCATGTGGAAACTTTTGCTCGTGGTATGCAGGAGTTGGAAGAAGAGGATGGTGTTCTTCCTGCGCTGGATGCTCACGAGCGGTGGGTCGTGAGCGATCTCCAGGCTGCTGGCGTTTCTAATGATGCCGACTGGCCTTCTTTCGGGATTGGCGACGAGTTCGCGTCCCTGGGGCCGTTGGTGTCGTCTTCTGGTAATCCTCGAGAAGCTGTCGAGAGTTCTGGAGGTTCGTGACGGGTTCCCATGTGTTTTCCTCGTGTCCGTAGTTTTTCCATTTGATTAAGAATTCTTTTGTTTCGTTCCTGACTCTATGGTCGATGATTTTTCGACTTCGTATTCTGGTTCATTGGGTTCCACGATGATGCAATCTTCTTGTGTGAGCCCTTAGGTGCTGGTTCGAGAAGTGAAATGTGAAAGACTGGATGACACTTCATCGTGTCTGGTAGTCTCAACTTGTAGTTGACGTTTGAGACTTTCTGAATGATTTCGAAAGGTCCGAGCTTTTTGTAGTCCAGTTTGTCGCTTGGTCGTTTTGTTTTGATGTTGCGGCGAAGGAGGTAGGCGCTATCTCCTCTTCCAAGGTTGGTCCTCCAACTTGATCTATTCGCGTTTTTCTTCATGCGTTGACGTACAAGCTCGAGATCCAAAGATGCTTTCTTCTGATTTCTTTGAGTTTTGCCACGCTGGCCACTGCTTTAACAGCTTGTGGTCCTTGTCGTGCTTCTCCGTACACTGTTGGCTGATATCCGTAGTTCAAGTAGAACGGGGATTCTCTTGTGCTTTCGCCAACTGCACTGTTGTATGCGAATTGGGCCATTGGTAACAATGTTACCCAGTTGTTCTGATCGTAGTTCACATAACAACGGAGGTATGTCTCGAGAATCTGGTTGATTCTTTCTGTCTGTCCATCGGTCTGCGGGTGGAAAGAGGTTGACAGTTTGTGATCTGTACCAAGTTGCGAGATCAGGGATCTCCAAAACTTTGAAGTAAACAGAGAGCCTCTGTCAGAGATAATTCGGCGTACCGTGGTTGGCAACAACGATTTTGAGGAACGTGTACGCTAACCT